TCCCAAGTCAAAAGTCACCAGCTGCTTAGCTCAACCAGCTGCATAGCTCAGCAACACATCCCTTTACTACACTCAGCAAGTCAAAGGGGTGCGGGGGAAGTCTTTAAACATCTTTAAACAAAAAGCTGGACAGGGGGGTTGCGAGGCATATCTATTGGGTGGCTATTCTGGCAATTCCAGTGTCGAAGTCGATGCCTCATCTGAGGACAAAACACCCTACTACGGCCCTACGGCAGGGCTTGACTTCTAAATACGTCTAACATTCATCATGTGGTTCCAGCGTCTCATGCGGTGTCCAAACTCACAACAGCAACCGAGAAGAGAAGGTAGGGCCGAACAACACACCAAGGTCCGAAGGTCCGAACGTCCGAAGAATCGGACGGTGCGGGATGAGTATTGGTATACATCATAGTATGATAGTGTATTGGTTGGGTTCTGCATGACATGATATCTCATGATATACAATGAAATACAACAACTACAGTACCCATTGAATAGCCCTACAAAAACGACTCGTAGACGGAGGCTCGCCCACAAAACACGTTCCATTGTCCATTAGTACCCGTGAGTGCGCCCGGATGAACTTTATTTGTAGTGGAAAGAACCTGTCGAACAATTAAGTCGATGACAAGTGCTTTAAAGCGATATCAAGAGACTGACACTGGCCTCGTTAAAAAGACATATATAAACGTGATTAAAAAAATTAAGTGTGTTCTTGAAAGACCATCTCTCACCTACATCAAAAGCATGCTGCATGCGGCTGTTTCAAGAAACCTCGATAATTTTTGAGCAAGGTACATCAAAGTACTTGGTTCTCAAATGTCAAATGCTATCAATTGGTCCTCTCTATACTGGAGATAAATGGAGATAACCTGGTTGAAACCCTCTCCGTCTCCGGACCTTCTTTTCAGCTTGCCATGGGAAAACGCCCGGCCTAGGTGAGATCGTTTCAGGCGACGCATGGACGACCAGCGCCGACCACCGAAGAGCAGTCATGAATTCAGAATTCCAGGTTCTGGATGCTTCTGGGATCAGAGTACGAGTGAAGTCAGACTTGAGGTAAGACTTGAACTCCACACAAGATTCAACAGTTTGGGAATTCGAAACACAGGACCTATATAATCCATGCACCCTTGGATGAGCTACGCATGTAGACCGTCTTCTTTGAGCATATATATATATATATATATTAGATGCTTGCCTTCATTGAGCCATGACATCTTAAAAAAGCATCTGCTTCCCTTCACGACTTCTTCGGCCCCGAAGAACCCCAACCCGCCGTGTGGGACTCCGCTCCGCTCCGCTCCGTTCGGTTCGGTTCCAAGGGGCGTGGAGATGGGGGAGACGCTGCCAATGTCTGGATCCACGTCCGGCGGCTCCTTTTTGCGGCTGCCAGCATGGTCTTCAGGCCGCAGCATGTGTTCCGTGCCGAAAAACCGAAAAGAAGTATATATCGTCAGATGTCAATAGTCAGTGAAGGGTTGCGTATCTGGTGTATTCTGGTGCGACTCTTCTTTTTGGGGGGGGTGATCCTAGACATTGGGATAGTTCTGGAAGTTTCGATCAACAGAAGAATGGAGTCAATTGCAAACCTTTTAGGTACTACTACGATCAATATGTAATATGCAACTCTAAAACCATGTAGAAACCCTGCCGTCTAAATGTGGTTTCAATATGTTTCAATGGCACTGGTTGCACACGCCTTGATCTAGGTGGCTTTCATCGCTGGAGTCTATCGAAAAAGTGCCCTCTACAGACACCATCATGTTACAACTATACAGTAGCCACCAAATACGACATACACCCTAGCCTTCAAAGACCCTTTAAGACATGGTTGACGTGGGTTTATAGTGTTAATTAATGCTAATTGTAATGTAAAATCCGTAGTAAAACAATGTAAAACAGCTGGTTCTTCCAGATTCAGCCCTAAAAAAAGGATCAATGCTTGGCGACCGGAAGGCTACCGGCGTAGCTACGGTACAACCACCGTTGCGTCGACGAGTCTCCACCACCCCGGCGGCGGCCGCTGCAGCGGCACTGAAGCGAGCGACGTTGGCCTTCCGAGCGGTGGCGGTGGCCACGTGTCGGCCACGGTGGCCACGTGGGTGTGGTGTCGGGAGTCCCTCCGAGGCTGATTGATCATGTATATATAATATATACATATATATAATATATACATATATATATACATATATATATGTATATATATATATGTATGGAGGAAAAGGAAAAAGGGCACGTGTCATGGGTGCTTTGTTTAAGTCTACAGAAAAACATCAAATAGCTCGAATTCAACAATTAAGTTATATGCGTTTAGTCTCGCCTAATAAACTGAACTTTAGGCCTTAGATGGCCTTAGGTCTTTAATTATCTGTGTCCATCTGTCATGAGCAGCTTGTCCAACAACTCCTTGCTGACACCTCCCAGACAACTTGCCGAGCTTTACCTCGGCTCCTTTTACCTCGTCTCACCAAGCCCCCAGCAGAACATTCCAGCGGCGAACTGCTTCGGAACTGCTTCGGGGCGATCGAGAATGGCCCAAAAGCTTGGGAAATCCCCGAAAAAAGCACAAACAGCAGAGGCATGCAAAGTCCATCCGCGCAGAATTCCGCGTCCAGTGGACCTTTGTCAAACTTGGCGCCGGCTCTTCATCACTGGAGACTTCCACCTCGCCAGTGAAACGCCCGACGTTTGCGGGGGACCAAACCCCACTGGTGTGTCGACTCTACGGTGCACCACGGCTTTCACACGTGAAAAGAAGAAAAACATACCCTCCGACACACTTAGGAAACTCCGCGACCGCCAGCTGGAGGCGGCGATCTGTGAAAAAAACCGAGGATCGCTGGAAGCTGGAGACCCCCGTCGCGATGTGAAGAAGGAGACCCAAACCCAGTGGTTTAGACAAAGCTCCCAATGTTTAGACAAAGCATGCCAAGGCCATGAACTAGAATGAACCCTTGACACCTGCGAAAAGCATCACCAATGAAGCCACCATCTTGCATGGAGAACACTCCGTGTTTCAGGACCTCTTTCATCTGCCCACCATCACGTGCTCCGGTCGTCCTACCTTGTCTGCTCGTCGATCCGGCCGTGGAGAGCCCAACCTCAGTCGACTGAGGTGTTCACCGAATCGGCAAACATGACGCCAGAACGCACAATTCAGTCTAGCACAGCTAGATATACATATATAAGGTATCAATAAAAGCCTATATAATCTATATATGTGTCTGGGTTGCATAACCTGATCGTGTCCGGTTGACGTTTTTTTGGTTGCCTCGCTGCGTTGTTGTTATCGGTCTGTCATCGCTTTCGTGCCGTTGTGGGAGAGACAACCTGAGATGAAACACATTTGAACGGTTGAACGGTTCTCCATCTGCAGGGTGATCCTTTGTGTTCTTCCGAAATTGCATTTTTGACGGTCGATGGAGCATCCTTCTGGCAAAACGGACATGCGAAGATTACTTTCCTGCATGTGGGGTGTTGCAATTTGATGACATCATATATGTCATATGACATCCAAAGTAGTTCACAATCCTTTCGCCGGACATGATGTTCCATCTTGTCTCTGCTCCCATCTTCACTCCATCTTTAGTTGTTCTGATGTATGTTCGGAAGTGTTCAGAACATGAGACGGAACCTATGTGTCTCGATTCCATGTTGCTTGGGTCTTTATTGGTGTCTTTCCGCTGAGGCGAAGCGGGAGCGAACGAACGCAAGTCCCCAAGGGACGTGCGTCACAACGAACCGACGGTTATTCAACGCGCGAAAACCGATCCTCTCTTCGGGTATAGCAGGAGGATCCCAGCTGAGCAGCAAAAGACACCAGACCGTTGATGAACAAAGCACCTCTATATAATATGGAAAGCCAGCCTGGTAGAATATTTATTCAATCAACAGCCAACAGTGCATTACACTACGTATACTGGAATATACTGGACCATACATACGAGGAAAAAGGCTCCACAAGTTCTCAAAACTACCTGGACCATCCTGTCTGGGTGTCCTGGCTGGACTACCCTGCACTACGACTGGGGATCTCCAGCCAGGACACCCAGACAGGAGGGGTCCAACAGGTCTCCTGTGGAGGGTTGGTTGTTAGATGTTGTTAGGCCCTGTCTGAGCTCTCAATGGGTGACCTGTTGGAAGGTCCTCTGGTCCTCTAAATGTTCAAAGAAGAACCAAGAAGAGGAGGGGACCCAAACAACAGCTGTTCAACTCACCCGCTGGGTGACCTGTTCGTCACTTCCGAGCTTCCACGCACGCGTTGTCCCGGGCCCAGCTCTGATGCCTGGCCGGTGGAGAGCTGAGAAACGGTCCCGGAACCACAGGGGGTCGGTCCATGCGGACCGAAAGCAGCACGGGACACTGCGGCGCCGCCGCGCCAGTCCGAAGGTCCTGAACTCAAGGCCTGAAAGGCACAGGGGTTCTACCAAGATCAGATCAAACCAAAAGCCACCAAAAACCTTGTCAAACCAAGACTTGTCAGACCCTACCAAGATCAGACATGCCACTATAAACCCGGAAGACTTGTCAGCGCCTTCTTTCCCTGCCATACGCCCGGCGGACGACTTGTTTCTCGCCATGTGCACTCGACAGCGGGTTTCGGTGTTCCCTCCACGACCGGTTTCGGTCGCAGGTCAACTACGTGGCGCATGGGTGTTCATCTACCCCCCCAAGCGACGCGACGCCACGACGACGGATGGAAACAGCATGAAACAGCTATGGACGGCTAAGCATCAAACCAGATTGCACAAATCATGGTTTCGCGTCCGTTGCAAGATGTTTCAGATTGATCCGTATGTTGGCACATGTCCACATACAAACAGTTTCCCTAGCCTTCCAAACACCCCATTGATTCAAATGTATTTATACCGAACAACTAACCATAACTAACCATTGTATTACGAAGGATTTTACGCAAACCGAGTCAAACATTTGGTCAAATACTCTTTGAAGGCGGATGTTGTTGTGGAAGAGCCAATTCTTCGATTCTCGTTGATCACCTTCCACCCATCAGGGACGCACCGCCGATCGGACGCCGCGAACAACGGGGGTGCGCTCATGTCTAAAACGGCGGCCGTTCGGCCAGCGCTATGTCTTTGGGCCCTCATCAGGTGCCAGGTGCGCATACATGGGGTCATCCAGGATGCTTTCATCTCCAGGTGTCAATACCCTCAGGCGCTCGACACACTCGACCGCCCGACGAGTTGGGGGGGCCACGGACGTGCACTTGGAAAGGACGTGCATTTCTAAGGCGAGCCAAACGTCACAAGCACTGGGCACATGGACAGTGTAAATAATATAGTATATATCAGTATAAATAAATCAGTAGTTGCATGGCTTGAGGCGGCGCAACAAGATGAAACTTACCAAGAACTAAACTTAAACACCATTACCAAAACAGTGAAATTTCCGACTGTACCATTCCAATGAACAGCTAATGATTAATGAAGTCTTAGTACATGGAATGCGCACGTCACGCTGAGGCGGTGAGGACACAGGGGCACACACGCCGACACCCAAAAAAAGGCTGCGCCTTGGACCTCTGCGGCTTTTCATGTGGTTCCAGAGCGGTTGATTCCTCTTCTCTCCAAAGCGGATCTCCCGGAAGCTGCCCCCCAGGGGGCTGGGGCGCCAGCGGCCAGCGAGGCGGTAATTGCTATAGCCCCCCACGTTGAAGTTCTTTTCCTTGGGAACGAGCACAATGCAGGTCACTGAGACGAAGGGATGATGCTGAGCAACAGCAGCTCCGCTTTGCTCTGCAGATCAAAAGCGTTCAAAAGGGCGTGCATTCAGATACCAACCAGGCTCCTTTCTGGACCACCCTACACGGGCCTAGGGCACCTTTTGTTCGGATCTCCTTTGGACACCCATTGTGCAAGACTTGGACCATGTCTCCCATGGTCGTATCCATGTGGGCGTTTGACGACCGATCTGGGCGTCTTGTCATGATGCACATCATCGGTTGTGAAGTATCGGTTGTAAAAGGTTTTGCCATGCTGCATGTTGTGACAGGGGCACTGTTGTGTACTGAAGCTATGAGCCCTATGTCGAAGCGTGTAGAAGCAAACAACAAGGGATTGCATTTTGGCTGACTTGGTGTTAGGCATCTGTGTCAGCCCTTCAAATGGGACTCACGAAAAACAAAACAACCTCCTGCCAGGGACCCAAAACGCGACATGTGGTTTTTTTTGTTCTTTGGTTTCTATTAGATTCTTTCTTGTAAGCCTTTCTTTACTGTATTATAAACCTACTTTTATAATGTGATAACCTTTACTACTATATTTATAAATTATGACTAGACATAAACCTCCACGGGTATCGGTGACACTGACCGCCTCACCTGAAAACAAAATAACACGTCCAACCGCCTAACCGGGACCATCAGGGGCCCAAGGAGTCCGTGTGCACCCCATGTGTTGATACGCACGCCTCGACTGTTGTAAAAATGAATGAATCTTCACATCTGATAAGCACAAGGAGAACGCCCCGTACATATGCAGCCCCTTGCAATAAGTCGGATTATCGGATGCTCGCGCACAAGGCTTCCAACCACCGAATTGATCGATTATTTGTATAACAATGTTTACCGAACACAACAATTTATGGATGTTGTACTATAAGACCAGGTCAACCATTTCAAAAATAGTCTTGGAAGGCTACGTCACAATAAGAAAGAGAATGCAAGAGATGGCTGTTGGGGAGGGATCTTTGCTGCTCCCATGATGGAATTCTTCAAGTAGGGAGCCTCCCAGCAGTTTTCCAAGTGTTGCAAGTTGTTTCAGGAAACGTCGGTTTTCTCCATCCAATCTCATTGGAGGCCTCCCCAACTTGAACATCACAAAAAGGGAATCCTTTGGGATCCTTTTGGGAGTCTTCGTCCTCTGGATGAACCTCATGTTAAAATCAGTGAGAAGATCGGGTCAGTTCAGTCCGGCATCGTCCTGACGATGCGGGAACGACGGTGTCCACCAAGGGCGGTTCTTTCGAGGTTTCCAGAATTCCCAAAAAGATCCAGAAGGAAGGGTGAGTGATGGTGAGTGTATGTATAGTATGTTTAAAACTAATTTTGATCATATGTATAAATAGTATATATATATATATAAGATCATATGAGATACATTTATGAAACCCCAGCGCAGTAAGTGGATCTGTTTAACAAAAACACTTCCCTCCCACACACTTGGAAAGCCCAACGTCCAGTACCCTCCGAGTCTCCAAAGCCCAAACTTCGCAGTTCGAAGGGTTCCAGACCTGGCGATTGAAGCAAAAGGGCCCACACCGGGGTGCACCAAAGGGCATTGAGGCGGCTCGCTTGGAGGTTCCTGGTCTTTTGGGCATGTGTTGAGTTGGTGTGTTGAAGGCCTTGAAGTCGCTGTACTTCAACAGCCAGGAGCAAAGACTGGGTTTCCAGGTGATAGCGAACAGGTGCCCATAAACCGGTCCAAACACCATCTGTTAGGAAGGTCCCGGTAGTTTGTTTTTGCTTGGACATGACAACTCGCAAGCAGTTTTTGCGATTCTTCGATGTGTGAAGTTTGATATCGTGCTTTTGACTTTAGGGGTGTGCGTGGTGGTGCTTCCAGAATGCCTTGGAGAGATCCTGAACAATGCCCCTATGCCCCAAGCCTAGGATAGAATCATGTCCAAGTCAGGGGTAGGGATTTGGCAATCTGCTCAGAGTCCGCGCATGGAAAGTTTGTCACGAAGGCGACGGATATTCCAAGGTGCCCCAAGTCCTAGCCAAGTCTCTTCTTCAAACTCCTCCACTGTCCAGTGAAAATAAACCATGCAAAAGATCCGCATCAGCAAGCCTCACTGGTTGAGCAACTTGATGCCGCTTCGATGGCCAAACAAACCGCAAAGACGTCGTGCTGCTTCTTCGCTCTTCGTTGCTCTTCGTCCGCAAAGATGACCCAGTCCACATGAACAATCCGCATATGAAGGTATACCAAGACCCTCCTGTCTGGGTGTCCAGTGGTGGAAATCCCTATAAGTAGTGGGCCAGGTAGTCCAGCCAGGACATTCTTGAGTCCACCTCGCCGTTTTCCCCCATCTTATCCGATCAACCGTGGATGTTTCCGATATATGGACTCGTCCAACACCTATACTATACTTCCCATTCGTTCCCCATGTTTCTCTTCTCCCATTCCTCACCGCCGGACCGTCCCAGGCGCCGTGCGTGACCAGCACCAGGTTTTCCACCGGCGACGTGTCCATGGAGCGCAACAAGCTGCTCCAGAAGTCGCTCACGCGATCAAAGACGTCGGTGCCTGCCTCACGTCGAGCGAGTCACACGAGGGAGTCGTGACGGGCTCTCTGCGGCGGCCGCTGGCGCTCTCTGCGCCAGCGGCCGCGAGGTTTTTGGTGGCCTTTTTTGGTTGTGTTGGGGTATGCAGGGTGTTGGGGTGTTGCAGGAAGCTGTCCAGTGGCCTTGAGGTACAGGGCCTAGGCGAACTTTTCTACACAGGATGCGATCTCAGATGATCTCAGCCAGGGTGCCAGGGTGGCTCCCTCTTCAAATACGCACCCATATACCATCCATCGGAGTCGGGGTCTGGTTTTGACGGACACTCTCCCGGACTGCTTCTTCCAGCGCCTCCGTCCACTCTCTCGGTTTCCGTCCTGGCCTCGCCATTGGGGAAGCGGTAGTAGAAGCGTCCGAACTTCTGCCGTTCTCTGTAGACCAACTCCATCTGCTGGGCATCCTAGCTTTGTTTGCAGAACCCCAGCCGACATTCTACGGCATCCCGGTAGGATCTAGTCAAAACATGTCAAAACCTCCAACTGAAATGTTCTGGTTTGATTTGGGGTTGGTAGGCCATCGATGAAGGTGTTGGAGAATGAATCCCCTTAGATCCTCTGACGGTCCTCTGGCCACACAGGCAGCTGCGCAACACCGATCAAGAAAAGATTGGGTGTCGGTGTAGATGCATATGTTGCCTCCAGATTGCTTCAAAACATCGTATTGATGTGTTTAGCATCCCTTTTGTGAAGAAAGAAGGGTACCTAGTACCACCACGAAACTGGAAACATGTGATACACATAGACCCCACCTGCATGACTCCTATGGACTCCCTTCAAACCTGCAAACCCACTCCTCCCGCTTACCCAACTGGACCACATAGACCCTCTCTCATCCGAAGACTCGTCGCCACGACCCTGTCCACTCCTGGAAGTTGCCGAAGTCTTGCTCCCGCAGCCGTGGCTCCGCACACATCTCAATCTGCTGCCCCTGGAGACGGAACATGAAGCTACAAGCGGAAAAGCGGCAAGCGAAAAACCAGGGGAGCTCAAACAGTTGGTGGCTACACCAAGTCATTGACTGGTTAAATCGTAATCCAATCGAATGCTCAAGAAGGTCGATTCACCATGATTGACCCGGCAATTAGAAGTGAACGTCAACTCAAGGAATTCATCTCCTTAACGATCTCTGAAAGCCAGCAGTTTCTACCAGCCATCTCCTCACAGCAACATACTCACAAGCATGCTGAACCCAATCCTCACCTTGAAGGCTTTCAAGATCTCTTGGAGCGTTTGCCTGGTTCGCATGTAGGGCGAGTAGAAGAACCGCACCGTGCCATTTCCCACCAGGGTCCGGATTTGCTGTCCAGCGGCAGCACCTTGCAGTTCCCCCAGTGGCGTCAGCTCGATCTTGCTATCTGGCCTCAGAGGCGGCAATGGTTCGCAGCTGGGGAGGTAGGAAAGAACCCGCTGGCGGCCGAGGAGTTGAGGGCAGAGTTTCTGCATGTTAGTATATATATTTTATATAATTAATATGTAATTGTAATATATAGTGAGATCATATCACGGTGTCCCTTGAATTGAGTTAGATATGTTAGATCCTCCGGTCATATCAGAATTGATCAATATGGCTGGTCCTCATCGGAGGAACAAGCTTGCGCATGAAGATTGACATGATAGCCGCCATGGAGTTTGAGGACTCCAGAAACGAATCACAAGCGATCGTAAGACAGAAGCCATCATCACTCTCGCACACAGGCGCCACATCTAGATTCTAGATACAGGCGCCACATTCTTTCAACTTGGAAAATGACCAAGTCCTAAAGTCAAAACCTCTGGAACATCCACTTAAGATGTTCTGCAGAAAGTTCACTGTCACAGACCAGTGGCGTGTGCTGATAGGCCGTCTTGTCCCGGTTCCCCACCGACTCCCCGTGCCGAACCAGGATGATCCGCCGCGGGCGCAAGCGGTCGCGCAGCAGGCGTCTCTTGGTGTTCAGCGTGGGGAGGAGCTCCTCCACTAAGCGCTCCAAGTCTTCAGGGCCCATACCTCAGGGCAGACAGCGAACCGAACGGAGCAAGAACGCGTAGCCTACGTTGCTCCTGGCCTTATACTACGAACGGAGCGTACGAACGCTACGTTCGTGAATCATGTGGAATCACGTCGTGAACCGAGAGTGCCGTGATCCGTCGTCATTCAGGGACTTAAGACCTCATTCGTCGTGAGGGGAATCATGTAGCCACTTTCAAGGTGACTTTCACTCTGGCAGCTGATGCTTTTTCGTGCTCTTTTTCACGCCCAGTGAGGGCGCCAACTTCGAATCGTCGTTGGTTCGATTTTGCAGACACTTGCCACGCTGTAACTAAACCCTTTGTGTGTATGTTGTTTTCCTCCTCAGCTGCACGTTTCCAACTCCATACGTGAAATTGGTAGCAACCGCACAAGGAAATCGCCGACCGATGGCGAGTGAACCGACGAGCGAATCGTCACAAAGCTTCGGACCTTTTCATATGGCTCGAGCTGCCCTCCCTGGGCGTGAGATGGCGACGGAAGCAGGTCAAGTCTCTAAGAACCCACGAAGGTATGTGGTGTCATGCTCAAATGGATCCGCTAAACTCACATCCCCAACACTCCTGGGTTCTTGGAGGCTATCTTGCTCCTCCCATGGCCAGTGGTTGGCCTTGGCCATTGCGGCCACTTGTCGAACGAAGGAGTCTTCGGTCTCGCGAATCTGCTTTTCCAGTTCCTGCTTCTTGATTCGGCGACCGGCAGTAAATTGGTCATCATGGACCAGCTTCCAGCATTGTCCTCGTGAGAGCAGCTGTAGGAAGACTTTCCGCTCACCAAATTTCGTGAGCACATCAGCCAGCTGTGCAAGACCATTCACCCAGCGAAAGGTGGTGTTGACTCGTAGAGCTTCTTGCACTGCCAATGTCAACTCATAGCCAGCACGGGACGAACGAAGTCCGTGCAAACTGGAAATGTTCCTTGTTGAGGCGTCGAAGATGCCCCGGCTATCCATGATGAGGATGCCGGATGTGTGCAGCTTAACCTGATCATACAGGCTTTCTTTTGAGATCTTGACGCCATTGATCTCCAGCCACAATGCCCGCACCTTGAAGTTGGCGTCCTCGGCTTCGGTCAGTGCCTGGACTTCTGCACCATTTGAACCTAAGCACTGGCGCGGTGTGCGCCCGGACCTCCAAGTCAGGATGGAGATTGGGAGCTCTTCTCCATCTGCGAACTCCCTTGGTGCCATGGCTGTCAAGATTCCAAGGGTCGAAGACCTGTCTGGCCTGTTCTGCTGTCCTGCGTCGCACCAAGACACTGTCACCAGATCTTTCCAGCTGCGGTGCCATGCGGGGAACAGCAAACTCTGATGGGCTTCTCGCTTGACCTCACGGATCAGCTTGTTGATCTTGAGGATGGTGTTGACTGTTGCTGTTGCCACTTCGCTCAAAAGGAGCGAGGTGTCTGCTTGGAACTGAGGGCCTGTCTGGGATGACTTCCAGGCAAGGGTTCCAAGAGCACCACGAAGTTGTGACACTTCCTTGGCCGTGAGGGCCGATTTGGTCTGTCGGGCTCGTTCACGGCTCATGGGGACTTCATCGACCCACTTCTCAACATAGCTCTTCTGGTCGATGCGGACGCTGCCGTCCTTTGATTGCACAATGTGACAACCTGCAAAATCAAACTCATCTGTTTGCCACTTGCCCCATTTGTATTTGCCCATCAATGCTTTCTCGGCCTGTACATACTTTGGGTGTTGCTCGTTGCCACATAGCAAGAAATCATCAACGTGAATCCCTGCAGCACCTATGACATCATTGTCATGTTCTTCATCATACAACAAAAATATACAACGATCACCCATGATCCCTTTCCAGCCGTGGCTCAACATAGTGTTGGTGACATCATTGAACCAGCACCTTGGAGCTTGCACCAAACCATAAAAAGCCTTGGTGATTCGGAGCCACTTCACTGGATGTTTTGGATCCGCCCCAAACAATGTCGCCAATTCTGCAGGAGCTTTGACGGTGAGGCCCAAAGGTTCCAAACTCTCTTCCGCCTGGAGAAAGGCGGATGTCACATCACCTGCCTTGAGGCGGTAGCCCTTGTTGGCACAGAGCGTGAGCAGGAGGCTGCGTGTCACACGTGACATAGTTGGAGCAGCCGTGGGGATCTCTCCAAGTCCGGCCATTTGGAAGCCAAGAACGACCAGTCTGGCCTTGGCGCTGCCGTCCCCTTTCACGGTGAGAACCCAGCGCATGTCCATCACCTTGGTCGGATCGACCTCTGCTTCCTCAGACTCGGTCAGGGATCGGAGAGCCTTGGAGCTAAGAACGTTGCTGAGCTCCTTTGCTTGGGCCATGTCAAAGTTGACCTTCTCGTCCATTGAGAGCTGTGCCCATCGCACTTCTCGCCCTTTCTCTTGCATCTTGCGGGAGAGCCAAATGCTCGACTTCTCTGGAAACTCGGTCAGGTATTTGGCATCTGACGGAGAAATGGGGATTTCCAGAGCATAGAAAAACTGTGAGCCCTTTTGCACCTGAGTCATCTTCTCCTTCTGAACCGATGTGCTCCTGTTGTAGTTGATCTGCGTCCCCTCATCTGGGATCATTTCATCTGAGCTATCGGAGGAGGAAGATGCTGACGATGAGGTGTCATCCATAGGCACTCGGGCACCTGATGAATTCATGGTGAACTTGCGACCAGTATCATCTTCGTGATAACCGGGATGTCCACCAAGCAAAACGCATGCATCTTGGCTGCATCGTGGTCTTGCAGCCTCGGGAGTACCACCAACGGCATTCACTCCCTTCTCGCGGAGAGCCGATATGAGTGGGCTCACCTCAGGCATCACCATCGGATTACTTGTGCCGGGATCTGCTGTTGCTGTGGCCGCTGTTGCTTGTTCCGCTGTTGCTGCTGGTGTTATCCCGGTCTTTGTTGATACTTCATCTTCCTCGATGGTGTCTTTCGATGCCTGTATTGATGCCTTCCGTTTTCGACCCGGCCTTGTGGTCTTGGGAGCCTTGGATGCTCTTGCCACGCCTGGTGTCGAAGGTGCTGAGGTCTTGGGAGTCCTTGGCACTCTAGCAGCCGGTGTCGAGGGGGCTGCTGTCTTCGTCAGTTCAAGCCAAGTTTCTCCGACCCAGCGTTCTTGGAGTGAGCGACCTGGCTGGTCAGTTTCCTTGTAGTTATCTTCGATGGTGGTTGGCTCACTCTTGTCATGGATGCCACGGAGCTTCGTCTTGCGCTGTCCAGTGAGTTGATCTTCATCCACTGGTAGTGCATTGAGCTTGCTAGGATCAAAGAGTCCAAGCCGTGGCATGGTATGGCATCGAATGAGCCACTTGCTGTCGCCCTCATAGCCGAACTTCCAAGAGTCGGCCTTGTACCCTTGAGCAGGTGCCTTCCTGACATCAGCTGGACTAAGGTCTTCTTGTTGTGCCTCAAGGGATGGAGTCTCTCCGGTGACGTCAGAGAAGTGTCGACCGGTGAAGTTCCTGAGGAGCGACTCAAGAGTGACCGGCATCTTGATGATTGCCATGCCTTCCAGAGAGGCTTGAAGTTCTTCTCGGCGGGTGCATGGACGGACCTGCATAGTCCTTGCTCTGACAATGGATGAGCCGGAGGCTAACCACAGGGTTTGTGACTCTTGTAGAAGAACTCGCACTGGACCTTGCCATCCTCCTGACACCTTGCCCGGGCGATTTCGCTGCCGCCATAGCATGACCAAGGAGCCCGGTTTGTGGGTGGCAATCTTGTGAGGGATGGTGTTGTTGAGCTTGCTCAAACGCTGTCGTGCGCTCTCCATCTCGTGAGCCACTCTTGCCTTCTCCTTGAGTCGGAGCATGCCGCCAAAGGCCTTCTTCGGGTCGATGCCCAATGGGAGTCCCTCCATGGGGATTGAAGCACCTCTTGTCCATTGGAATGCTGAAAATCCAGAGGGGCCTATCGACTCATTCTGGCCATGTGCGGCCAATGTGAAGGCAAGTTCGACCTCCATGTCTTCCACCTCCTTGAGCAGTCGTCCTGCTGTGCCCTTGAGAAGAGCAATCGCACCCTCCTCAGGTCCAAGAAGATGATGTGCTTCAGCAGGTGTCACCATGTGTCCAATGCCGCTTCTGCCGAGGAACTCGTCCATCTGCTCTGACGTAAAATACGTCGCCGAATCACTGAGCAGCCATTTTGGACTTGGGTTTGTCATCATCCAACGACCAAGGACCCGAATGATCACCTCAGTGTTGGGCTCCCATGCTGTTTCTCTTTCTTCATCAAGGCCTCCGTAGGTCTTCAGAAGCTCCACCATCATCAGACCGCTTGCTCGGTCACGGAGTAGCAGGAACTTATACTTGATGTTGTTGTGTTCATATTCAAAGACGTCAGTCCCGACTATCTCGAAGAGGGATGGTGTCTCATGAAGAGAGGCCACAGGTGTTGGTGGCGGCCTCTTGGCCTCGACGCAGTCTGGGCACTGCATTGATAGTGCCAATTCAATTGCCCATTGAGGTGCTTTCCGGATGCGAAGGAGCCTTGCCAGGTTGTGGAAGGATGCATGCCCTGATGACTTGTGGACACGAAGCATCTGGGCCTTGATGGCCTCCAATCTCTTCCCCGTGGGCGGTTCTTGAGGATACCGCTGGCGTGTGAGAGCGAAGAGATGTGGTTCTTCCTCTCGAACTGTTCGCTCGAAGTGAGCGTGCTGATCATTCTCAGCATCCGGAAACATGCCCATGACATCCTCCTGGAAGTTGTTGGCACCCTCATACTCGACAAGGTGTTGTGTCACATCATTGGCCAAGCAAGTTCCGGCCTTGTCTTCCATGCGGCTCCATGATGCTGCAATGGCCTTGGTGACGGACTTCACCATGAGCTCGGGGTAGTAGCTCGATGCCTGGGCCACTTGGCCTCGACAGTGAACGTGGTCAGTATGACCTGGACATCGTTTCTGGAGCGCCAGCCAGACTTCTCGGCATGTGGTGGCCACTGTCCAACTCTTCTGAACTGGGTGTCCTCGCCATGTCAGACCGTATGCACAGCCGTGGAAGTTGCACCAGTAGATGTGGCGATGGTGTTTGTGTGCCAACCTCACCAGTCTGTTGATGGCCTTGGAGGACCAACCTTTCTTGGCCGTTGTTGGCCATTCCCAGCTCAAGTCTCCTCCAGTCTCCAGGATGGGCTCGGCAGCTGAAACCACCTCATCTGCTCGACGAAGATCTCTTTGCTGCCGCTTCTGGAAATTTGCTTCTTCCCACTCATCTCGTTGAGTGAGGTTCACCAAACCAGTGAGTCTTGTGCATGGCAGGCTCACCCATGCATGCTTTGGTGGTTCGGCCTTGATGTCATCGGCCAAGTGTCTTGTGCCTGCCTTGGTCTGCAGGTCATAGCCTTCCTTGAAGTTGATGCGCTTCACGTTGTAGCCCATGCCTTCCATGCTAGCGGACAGGGATGAGGTTGGAGCACATGCAATCTCCATGAAGTCCGTGGATGTTGTCAGCTGTGCCATCAGACCTCGAACTGAAAGCATCATCACTGCTCCGATCATGGCCGCATTGGCCGACATCTTGCGAGCTGTGGATGGTGGAATCCCAGCTCTCTTTCCTCCTCCAGGTCCAGGAGCAGGGAGCTCCAAAGTAGAAGATTGTTGGCTGCCGCCTTGAAATGGAGAGGCGCTGCCAAGGGTCTCAGGAAGACCGTGTCGTGACGTGGGGTTGGCTGCAATGCCATCCTCAATCGTAGTGCTCGTAGTGCATGTTGTCGTGGGCTCCGGCTTGGAGTGCCGGATGCGCTGCTGCAGGGCTTTCACTGATGCCCAGAGGGAGCTGAACTTTCCTTCTTCTTGTTCTTCACCGGCTCCTTCTCCTCCTCTGATGAGAAGATGTCCACAGCTTCCGGACCGAACAGGTGATGGTCCTTCGGCCTCTCCTCCTCCTTGATCTTCCGGCCCTGAATGTGCTCGAGGACCTTCTTCTTGAACTCTGCTGGATCCAAGGAGTCCATGCCGGTCTGCTCCAGCAAGTATTCCGACGCTGCCACCATCAGGAGTTCTGTCTGTGCCACTGGATCCTTCTTCTTCGGACTTGTCGGCTCGCGAGTGGCACTTGCCGAGCGGCTTGCAGGACTCTTCGGGCGCTCCTCGCACTCCGGTGGATAGCCCATGCGCTTCCTGTACTCCTTGATGGTCATGTTGATGGCCTGAGTCTGGGTCAAGCCTCGCTGCAGCTCCAGACCCTTCAGCTCCATGATCTTTCCATTGACCAGGTGCTCCGTGCATGCCGAAGTCGACGTGGATGCCCGGATCTGCTCCATGGCCAGAGCAACCAACCGTGGGTGTGGCCCCATGTGGCGAGTTTCGCCCTTGCTGTCCTTCTTCGGCTGGTAGTTGGTGCGAAGGCCACACACTGCGCATGCGCTCCACATCGCACGTTGGTTCTGTCGAACCTTGCCAGGCTTGTGATGTCCCTGGCACGGCCATCCCGTCGTCCGCGGATCGTCTTCCGCGCATGGGAGAAGCCGGCTGTTGCTCATGTCGGAGTCGAGCACGGAGCGATGCCAATCTTTGAGCCAAAGAACTCTGCCGGGATGATGGCATAGAAGACAACATAAACACTGCTGCAGGCTTGCTTGGTGTCTCATCAACAACTGTTGCATCAACTGTTTGTGAAAACCAATTGCAAACACTGTCAACTGACATGGTCTTCTCGGTGAGGTCCAATGAAACATGGTTTGTATGATGTGCACAAAGCTTCACTGCAAACCACGAAGGCTGGGGATCCTGGCTGTAGTAGATGAACATGTTGTTCTCGTACGCGAGCACGGCTCCCAGCTGTCGAAGGGTCTTGCCTCCGAGAAGCGGTGGAGTGGCGCTCGCTTCACCACCGAGAACGTAGAAGCTCACACGGCCGATTGATGTCCCACTCAAATCAACTCTGCTGGTGGCCTGTGCCTGTTGACCATTGCCGAACTTGAAAACTGGGCGGTCAGTCAAACTAACTTCATGGGGGAGTTGAGACTGTTCCAGAAGGGTGGCCAATGCTGAAGCTCCGACGGCATTCTCCGATGCCCCAGTGTCTACTATAACCCGTGTTCCAGTGGTGGTGTTCAGATAGATGGTGGGGTCAATGGTGATGGAGTGGAACTGAACGGACTTGCCCTTTCCTGAACCAGAAAACTTCCCCTTGGATTTCCCTTTGAACTTGCCACCACCTTTGCCCTTCGCCCCAAAGCCCTTTCCACTGCGGCCGCCAGCGAAGCGGTCAGGACAATCCCGATAGCTGTGGCCGTTCATGCCGCAGATGAAGCATGGTCCAAAACCTGACTTTCCCTTTCCAGCTCCGATGCTCTTCGAGCCCTTGGGGGAGCCGGACTTGGAGGAAACGGAGGACCCCTTGCCAGTCATCGACTCTGGCGAGAAATAACCACGGGCTTGGCGAACTCGGCGAACTGCATCTCTTGCTTCTGCAAGTGTTTTGTTGGCTTCGCCGGCTAAGGCGTAGGCCTCGCGAAGCTGAGCTTCTGCTGGATCTTGGTCACCATCTTCGGCGGCCTCGTCAAGATCGGGCCATTCGGCCTCGTCCCAATCATCTCCAGTCCACTCAGCCCAATAGGACTCTTCGTCCTCTTCTGCATACCATGCTGCATGCCCTGGATCGTAGGCATCCCAACATTGCCAAGCGTCATCCACTGTATCCCAACTCTGTTGATCATCTGTCCACCAAATGCGAGGTCGTCGACCCCAGGAGTGACCTGATTCGTCCTCCTCTGCAAACAATGTTCTGAGAGCCCTTCGTACTTGCAAAAAGCTTGTACTGTTGCTTGTTTGAGTTAATATGTTTTGTTTCTCAGAACTTGTCAACTTTGCAGCCTTCAACAATCTGTAACCGCGCAACTCGTCTTCAAAGAAATCTGGTGAATATGCAGCCTTTGGAATGGCTGCCGTATCCGGTTGCGTCTCCGAATCCGGTTGGGTGAATCGCAAACCAGCCATGGGGCTTTGAGAAGGTGTCGATGGAGGGCCACGAGTGGGCATTTCTGTGATCAACGGGGTCACTATACCCTTGTCCTCCCTAGCACGTGTCAAAGCCGCCTGCAACTGGGTGAAAAGATCTTCCTCCCGCACAAGCATCTGAGGAATCGACTCTCCAGCCAATCGACGCAGCTGATGCCAAGCATCCAACCTCCGAAAACTGTCGCTGATCGGAAGGGCCTGCAATGGGGACTTGCGAAGAACCTCCAATAGGCGGGTCAGACCATCTGAATCCTCGAAGTCATCGGGGTTGAGGTTGCGGACAACTGATTTTGCAGGGCCAGTCAACCTAGACCAAACACGCGATGCTGCCAGCTTCCTCTCTGACTCTTTGAGTCCCTTTTCATACCAACGGCATGAGGTGTAGAATGCTTCGAAATCAACAGGGTCTCCAGACCAGGTAGGGATGTCGTGACCAGACGCCATGGCGGGAGCCCCTAACCAGGGGCTCCGCTACCATGAAATTGGTAGCAACCGCACAAGGAAATCGCCGACCGATGGCGAGTGAACCGACGAGCGAATCGTCACAAAGCTTCGGACCTTTTCATATGGCTCGAGCTGCCCTCCCTGGGCGTGAGATGGCGACGGAAGCAGGTCAAGTCTCTAAGAACCCACGAAGGTATGTGGTGTCATGCTCAAATGGATCCGCTAAACTCACAATACGGAAGGCTATCGAAGAAATTAGAATTCTAGTTTCTCCATTCCTTTGCATGTGTGTTCTTTCTTGGGGGTGGACCCATACAAACGCCCCAACAGCGGGGTATGGAAGCTGTTTGATACTGTGCTGGAGCTTAGGTGGATGACGTCTATCACTGTTCCACAGGATCGGCCCATATCGGCCCCCTGTGTTTGCGTCACATACCCAGTGGAACTGGTGCCCCATACAACTTCAGTGATGCAAGTGATGCCGCAACAACTTCAGCTTGCATCTTCTCCCTAAATTGTTCACTTCGTTCGCAGAAGTCACTTCAGCCTAGCCTGTCGGCTGGCTTTCATAAAAGAATCAAAGACACCATCAAGACACCCACACATGGGCTTGGATGGCCACGCTTGTCCCCTTTTCCCGACTTTCCCCTAAAGAGCTCCTCAACTGCAGCACACTCCGTCCCTCACCGAGTCGCGGGTCACTTCCTGCAACACACTTTGCACTGCCTTCGAGCGCCCGGACGCGCGTCCGGCCGGCACGGCGCGCCGTTTCGGCGCGCGGTTGGTCTGTGCCGCGCCGCGCGGCGTCCAGCTAGGCACGAACAGCCGCGGAGCGAAGAGCAGGGCCAAGCCCAGGACCGCTCCCAGGCATTTCCGCATGGCGCAGGAACCCGGAAACGGCCGGCTAAAAAGCCACGTCCCCGGAAACGCGTGGGCTTTTGTGTTGGGGTCCCTGCAAGGGACGGGAAAACAAAGAGACATTCTGGCTTGTATGAGGGTTGAAGGGAGCAGCAATTGGACTACGGATTGTACAGCCTCGTGGATAACTCAGCCGGAGATCAAGATCTTGCACCGTGTTCAATAGAGTCACTATGTTCCCTCACCGTTGAACATCACATTGCCCACACCCTTAATGTAGTTCCACTGATTTGATCGGCAGGGCGTTGGCTTTTCGTCCACCCTCCCTACCCCTGTCCAAAACTTTACAACATTGATCTTTGGGCAGCAAAGGGCTCTGGTTGCCCAAAGGTTTCAGTTCTTTTGTTGGATGCATGTATCCCAATAATATCCCAAAGCCTGTAATGAAAGCTTACTAGAAAAATGTGGCAGCTCCTTTCCTGATGTTCTGTTCGCTGCCCATGTTTGATCGGTGATTTGTCATGTCTTCGAGCCACAGCCATATCACTTGCCTTCATCACGAGTTTCTTCCAGTGTCAAAGCCATGAGCCCAGTGCATCCCCCCAATCTTTGCTCATGCCCAGTAGATTCAGTTGCTTCCAACAGGAAAGACAACAAATCCAGAAAGCACAAAGAATATCAATCACACACACACTCCATGTGTGGAGTATACCTACATTGACCCCTAAAACATCCCGAATGTAGGTAAATATGCCAGCCCCATGGAGTGCCTGGGAATGTCCATGATCTCAGCAAGGGAATAATCTGTAATCATCCCCATCTGTCGCAAGACATGCACTCGCCTTGGGGATGGGAATGTCATGGCCTTCCATCTCCTGAAGAGGTTGATTCGCTTCACAGGGTGCTGAAACAGTCGACTGCTGGGTGCTCCTTTTTTAGTGGCCCGTTACTTGAAACTGGATGGCCCACTGCTTGGCCTCCGAAAAATGCTGACCGGACCGGATGTGTTGGGGTGGCCGGATCTCCGTCCAAAGCAGTCGTGATTGGACCTTTCTTCGTCTGAGTCGTCCGTGCTTGGAACGTTTGGCGCCCCCTTCAACTACGTGGCCCTTGACGCCAAAGACGCCTAAGCCCGCCAAAGCGAAATAAAACAGCCACACTCTTTGAGACATACAGTGACATACATCTATTCTTAATTATTCTTATATATTCTTATAACAATGGGGTCGTCTTGTTTTGCAGGTGCTTCCATCAGCAGGCTATGACTTTCAAATAGGGTGCCAACGTCAAGCAAGGCAGCTCTTCTTCCTGAACCCATCAATGTTCTACGTAGGATGTGAAGCAGGACATCTCGAATCTCGGTCATCAGTTTGCGTGTAGGGCAGTGGTTTCTGCACCCCTCCTCCAGTGACCCAGCTCTAACACAGCAACCCACATACGCAGGGGAGTTGGCGAAACACTCGGACTTCCACAACTTCATCGCAGACCTTAGCACAGTAAAAATGAAAAGCAAACAAGGATGAAGGGAAAGCTTACAAGAAAAGTCTGTTAACGTATGCCCCTTGGACACCCTTCTCCTCGCGTGGTACCATCGGCGGCCAAGCCTGGATCGGACGATCAGGCCATGAGGAATCGCTGGTGTCTTTAGTGCATGCTCACGAAATCTTCGCGAGACCAGGACCGTTCAAAACAAATACCGTACAGTAATTGCCTGTTCACAAGACGTGCTGTGACAAGGCAGAAAACGGCAAAAGTTCTGGTGGCAAGGTGAGAAACCTAAAAGAAACGGCATCTTTTGGCGTCCAAACGGCGTCTTTTCCGGTCCATGGATTTTAAACACATGTTTGCAACCCTTGAAACGTCACTTTTTTTGATTTTGGCGTCTCTTCACCATAGTTGACTGTCCTTTGTCGACTAAGACATCTCCCCATTGGGCACTTTGGGGAAGCGAAGATTGAAAACAAATTGTCTTCAAATCGATTTCATGATACGTTTCTAGAAACTCCGCTTTCAAATCTTCAGGTCCCTTCTTTACTGAGCTGGATCATCTCCATCCAATGCTATTTAGACCAAACACTGATACAAAGGATACATACAAAAGGGCTCCAGGCTGCAGGAATGGTTTCTTGATCAGGCTCAGGCCGGCCGGCTATGACCGCCGGCTTGGCTGCAGGGTCACCGCAAGCAAACGGTTGCCACGTTCATGCGCGAAGCTTCTTCGGGGAGTCGTGGAGATCAGATGGGTAGCTCAAATAGGGAGACCTCCCATATCCTCCCATGCTTTGCTGAATGGCAAAGAGTGCGCACACTCACGCTGAGACCGAAGGTGGTTGAGGTTGGGCAGTTTGGCCGCTCAAACCGCAGGTGGAATGGAACCGCTATCTGCCCCACATCTCTCCACGGCGGCCAACATGAGAGGTGAAAGGTGCATGTCATGCACTGTTCGCCGAGTGCCTGGTGAAAGCCCGGCGGAAACGACGCCTGTCACGAAGCGACGCCCCGACCCCCCGACTCGTTGCGCTCGGCCTCTCCCGTCAACGTGGCCAACCTGTTGCCCAGTTCGCAGTTCGCGGAGCTGCAGAGGGTTGTCACACGGGGTGGTGAGGCAGGGCGGAGGGACCAGATCGGTGGTGAAACCCCGATCTTGGAGAGTGATGGATCAACAAAAGTAGGCTAGTTGGTGTCCACGAGACTCCACTAAGGATTTGTTTTCCTAATGATTGTTCTTTACCATTGGGCTTTGGAGGCTGCATATCTCTTACCCACGGCCATTTAATCAAATTGAATCTATGACTTACTGTACATCACTCGAAAAACTAAATCCTAAACTGCAACGACTGAAGGTAAGTACTCTATGGCCATTGGGAGGACAACAGTCGGGCCCCAACCTCTCCTCAGCACCGATGGACCGAAATCTGCACCAGCTAGTGCCACGCTAGTAGTAACAGGTGCCTTACTAGTAGTAACAATGTTTGCTATTAGAAACAAGAACCTAATAGCTTCTTGTTACTAGTAGTATATAATGCCCTTGTCACTAGATGCCCTTGTTACTAGTAGCAGTGCACTTGTTGCTAGGTTCAAAAATCCGATTCGATACTTCCAGCTCACCCTTTCAAGACCGGCAAGGACTCAGACAGGCCTCTTGACACCCCTGGCCCACCACTTGATCCTGACTTGAACACACACCAGCTGGGATGATTCTTGGCAAAAGAAACATCGCGGGTCTTCCAACGCTGCGAAACTCTGAGGCCCGAGGCCCTTCCGTGCGCACCGGCCGCAAGGTGCTGCGCTCCTCATCCCCCATCCCCACCCCCAGGTGGGGCGTGGGAGACGGTCAAAGAACAATGACCTTCTCTAGGGATCCAAGTGGTGATTGGAGACACTGTCATCTAGGTTTGGAGGGTCCAGGTATCTTCTGAGAAGGTACTTGGATCCCTAGGGCTTATGGCAGCTTGATGCATTTTGCTCTCTTTGGCTTGCGGAACATCGTGATGGCGATCAAATCGATGGGAACCCCAGGTTGATGGGCGTGGTGTTGAGACGTGTTTTTCGCCGCGTGACGTTGCTTTCAAAAGCTCTCCTTCAAAGACATCTATGATATGTCTGTTAAACATCTCCCTGTCTCAGACATCTCTTCGCACCCATGGGCCATCACGGACCTGTATTTCTCTCAGAGAGTCCATCCCCCACGACGCGTCGTCGTGGCTTCCCTCCGCCCGCCGTGTCGCGCGTCGCGCGCGAAAGACGACGAGAGGACGAGGCAAAGGGATCCACGTCGTCGCTTCGACGGTCCTCGATCTCACCTGGCCGAGCCACGACGCTCTGCTCCGACGGTGCGTCCGACGGCGGAGTCGGGTCCGATCGGGCGAGCCTCCATCGGAGTGGCTCGATGGTTCTACCCCGGGGCGACTCTCACCACAGCGGGTCTGGCTCAAGGACTGACACCCGTGGGCTGATGAAATGGGGCCTGCTCTTTGGCCCAGACTTCGAGAGATGGAGTTGGATTTCTATTCTGCTCAGACAATCCGTTTCACCCCCTTTTGAGCCACTAGTCACTAGAATGCATGCTAATACACTGGGTTGTGCATCTGTAACACATCTATGAGCATAGGGTCATAGATGGTCATAGTGTGCTTCTCTGCACTTCCCAAGTGGAGTTGACTCACCCGGCCACACGCTGCACCGCTACAGAACCTGGTCTTGTGGTTCGGGTGTTCCATCATGGCCACGCTTACTCCACTTAGTGTGAAGTGATTTGTCCTTCAGGAAACTTAAATATTAATCTAAAATCAGCCATATGGAATCTAGGACCCTAGGAAGAACGTGGGGTTCACGGATGTTCACGGTTAAATGATGTTAAATGTAATGTATATGAAGAATTTGAGGTTAACGATTTCACATTCATCTGTTACATGAACAAAGGTTTAGTGCCGCACGAGTCGCAGCAATCCAGATCCCATGTCCAGCCTCAAGGAATTTATGTCTGTTCACGCTACAAAAAAGAGGTTTGGGCATGTTTTGTCTGCATGTCGCAGGGACAATTCACCAAGTGCCAAAAAGTGTATTGAGACGCAGATCTTATCTCAGGCCATGTGGCTTCCAGCCGACAAGACCAGACGACCAGACGACCAGACGACCCCGTAGAAGACCATTGACCCAGCAGTGGTTCTCTGCCGCCATGGAACGACTCGTCCGCTCCATGTAAAGCGCCCCGTCCATCAAAGCCCGCTACTATCTGCTTTTACGTACAGGCTCCACAAATCCAGTGCAAACACACATGGAGACCTTCAACAGCTTGCGAAGACCGAATGAAAAACACATCTCCAGTATGAAAAGGAAGACTCTCTCGTACTTTCTGCCACAGGTTCCTTCTATCAGAGGCCCACGGGAAAGCCGGCACCAACTCAAGCCTGTTTTGAGCTTCTTCTTTTTCTTGGGCGGCTTGAGGGCCTGTCTCAACGGTCTCTACTCGCGCTGCTCGACTTGACCCGGCTGAGGGTTGTGTTCGTCCCCTCATCGATCAAACAATCCCCCGAACCGGTTCGAGTCACCGACCTTTTCTCGGCGGCCGAGACTCATGTACCATCATGTCCAATCCTCGGCATTCCGCTCATGGTACCAGGATCCTGTCTGGGTTTCGCGACCAACGACGCTACACTAGACCTTGGAATCTCCAGCCAGGACACCCCTTCCAATGCTGGTAGACCTTGGTAGAGACCACGGCAGCCTTCTGCCAGCGTGTGTTGCTTTAATGATCCTGGAAAGACTGAAGATCCATTTAAGCCAGTGTGAAGCAAGCATTGGGATCTTGCTTGTCGTTTGGGAACCTCGTACAAAAAGGAGTTCTACGCATGCTTCGGTGAAAGTTCGTTGGGCCTCACGGGCATGTTCGGACCTGATCAAGATGAGAAGAACCGTGGCAAGTTCAGGAAAGTCGATGGGTGATGTTCGTCTTTTGCCCCTATCCCATCTGCCCTGAATACATTCTTGACTCCTGAACAAACATCGTGTCAAAGTCTAAATTGAAGATCTCAAGTTCCGGACGTGTCTCCCCCTCGGAATCCGGACCTTCGAATGGAAAGGGTTTGGTTCGGGACCCCTGTCAACTGGAGGGTGCGCCAACTGGAGGGTGCCAACGACCAAACATCTGGAGGGTGCCAACTGGAGTGACTTAGCCAAGACTTTGGCGTTTCATGTCACAAGAAAAACCGACCAAGACGAGGATCCCCATGATCCGCTTGGATCCCGGAAGAGGCTCACAACCTCGCCTGGGCGTCCGTTGGCGAGCTCGGGGCCACCTGCAAGGACTCCGGAATTCCACGAGCAGGTAAGACATCTGAGTTCATCTGAGTTTGTTGGGTATGTCACTACTGTCAACAGTATGTCCACCAGTCAGAGTGGATGATAATGGTCCGTCTCTCTCAAAACGAGCGATTAATCTTTTGCCAACTGTTACTGTAATGGCAATGGGACACACCCAAATAATTCCAAATGTCTCAACACGTTGGGTAACTTGGGTAACTTGGACTCACCCACCCTGGGACACCGCACCGGCGCCACCCGTGCCACCATGGGCGACACCGCCCGCAGCGGCGCTGGCAGGCGCTCCGGCACCACGCGCTCCACGACGCGAGGCGCTGGTGGGACGGGCACCGGCACCTGAGCGATTCCGGGGCACAGGCAGGAGAACAGGCAGTTCCGAAGAGAGCCGGGACGTTCGGATGCAGTTCCATGGCTGAACTGATGCTTTTGGGAGAGAAGAAGAGAGGTGGGTTCTGGGAGCGTGGCGAAAGGAGAGATTGCGAGTTGTGTAGATTCTTTTGGTCTGTTCTCGCCTTTCTTCTAAAGCATGAATTGTTGAGCCCAGGCCCATTTCGGAACAAGACCCATTCTGGAACCACGTGTGAACAGGCTTCTTTCAGTGCACAAACTCCATGGCTTACACTCCATGGCAAGTGGTTCGCAGGTGCGCCGGCTTCAGTGGTTGGCATCATCCCCTTGGGCAAGCCAGGTACTTCCACCATGTCGGAGCAGTATCTACAACTGGCCAGTGTGGTGGGCACCTAGAACCATGAACAATTGAAAACCAGCACCACGGAAAGGGTGGTTTATAGACATCCCTCACTACCTTTTTTCTCTCAATAACCACCCGAAGTCCGTGGTGCTGGAAACATGCTTCTTATGATGTTGGGCTGACTCGAAATGTTTGCCTTTTTACCTTAATAAACATATATTATATAAATACCTGTCCCGCTCTGTCGAGCAAATTCATATCATAGATATCATTGATATATTTTTTGGAGGGCCTATCGCTTGTGTAGGTTTTAGCGCCAAATTCCTGAAATTCACGACCGCTCTTTACTAAACTAATCATCGCACGTTTTGCGGTAGCTCATATCATATCGTTTAAAAATGTTTTAAAGTTGTCCGACCAAACTAACTTTCGAGATCTTTCGAGTGATCCTTGAACAAGAAGAAGAATCATGCAGACGCTCGCGAAGCGCATCTTCGCGCCGTTTCAGATCTCTTCTCCTACAGGATTCAAGCATGGTGCACTTTGGCATTTGTGAGACGCTCCATGTCACAGCCGGCCGTCTCAAGTCGCTCGTGGTGGTCGCCACAGTTCAGCGACGGAGCTCGTCCGCAGGGCCGAACGGACCGTGGAGCGCAAAACAACGGACGACCAGCGGTTTGCAGGGCATGAGCTTGAGTGACGAAACTCCAAGTCCGGCAGAAGGGGCTTTGAAGGTGCTGTAGAAGGATGTCCACTTTGCACAAAACATCTTCACTCCGATCCTCAAGTGCTATAGTCTACAGTAAAAACGAGTCATGATCGACGTCCTCACTTTCTCCAAACTGGCTTCAAGTTCCACAACCATTTCCGGATGGTCCTGGCTGCCCCAGCAGTGTCCGGGCACTGTTTTTCCAAAAATCCAACATGAATGTCAATTGTCAAGCCAAAAGCTGGCAAATGCTGGCAGAGTCTATCACCAGCTACCTTCAGAAAGTCTAGACTCCAGTGGTCGTCAAAAAGGATGCCTTTTTGTCACTTACCTTTGAAGGGGATTGCATGTCATGTCGGTCAATGAAGCCCCGGTTCAACCCGTTCAAGAATTTGCTACCCAAAACCACAAGACTCGTGACCATCAATATGCATCCTTCCATTTGGCCCTCAGCCCGTGAAAAGCCACAAAACCAAGACTGCCCGACAAGCCGCTGGCACTACCTCTGCGATCATCTGCCTGACCAAACTAGGGCGCCCAGTCGGTGTTGTCTCAGTCCTGCTTTGGGACCGAGACTGCCCGATCGGCTCCCCGGCACATCGCGGCACATCGGGCAGTTCGGTATGACGAACGGGCCACTCGATCCAAGCACAGGGATCTTGGAACGGTCTCAGTGACTCCAGAGGTATCACCCAGTTGCAGCCGTGTGGTATCTTACGGTACTGTATTCTTGAAGAGTCTTAGAGATTGGTCGTTGTTTGTGCCCAGCACGCAGGATGTGTGTTTGGTCAACCCTAGGTTCCGAGCATTGGTGAGAGAAATTGTTATGATTGGCCAATTCCTCTCTCAATGTAGCAGATCGGAGATCGGGCACAGGAAAGGCAAAGTTTTGAGATCTACAGTAGGGCTTTGTATTGCCGTCAAAAAGATCTTGATTTGCATCCTTTTGCTCTTGAAACATGCAGCCATCTTCTCACAGTGACAGTGTCATAGAACATCCACAAGCCCTAGGAAAAGATCTCAAGGCTTCCGGCTCGGAACCTAGGACCCAGCAGCTAGTATTAGATGCTGCCAACCTCGTTCGGTCGACCGGCGTATCCCTCACCACCCTGCCCTCACTCTGATCGACCAGCCCCTCACGGCGCTCCAATCGTAGGGAGATGAACAGCCGTCCTCAGCACCGTCGCACGCGCGAGACCTCACGCGCGAGACCCAGCGAGACCTCACGTCTTGCCCCGTTCGGGCGTTTCGGGCCCCAGAAAGGGGGGTCAATGCCAAGGACTCGTTCATCATGCGTCCAAAGGTTTTTTTAGGGTCTTGTTGCCTGCGACCTGCCCAAAATGGCCACCCCCCCTGGGATCTGTACCATTTCCTCCGCTCTCCTCCCCTCCATCCAGGCTGCTGGACACCGGTCGATCCGTGCACACCGTGCGCACCGGTCGACGCCGTGTGGGGCGCCGCATGCTTCAGCGGGTGAAAGGTGTGGACAGTGGTGTAGTCGTGCCCCGCCCGCCAGGGCAGTGGATGTCCTGCCTTGGGTCACGACTGCGCGCGGCAGTGGGCCAGGCAGGTCTTTGGTCTGGCCCAGATGCGTGTCAAAAAAAAGGAGCTGCACACTGCACGACTTAGCAGTACAATCAACAGATCGAAGCACGAAACGAACAGGCCCCTTGCCAGGTCTCTCGTGGACCAGGGTGAAAGTTCGGGGAAATGGAGAGTGAAACTCTCTTGCAACTAGTCAACTAGCCTGAATCTCCTCTTCCACCTCTTGCTTGTTGTTCCATCTTCATGATGGTAAGGTTTCTTTCTCCAAACAAGTCAATAAAAAGCTCCTAGTCTCCTCCCCCAAACCCTCCGATAAACCCTCAGAATTGACCAGGTGGATTCGACCATATGACCCGAAGAAACACGGTCCATACGGATATCAATCTGCAGGGGACGTAAATCAAACAAAGACTCCAAAACGGATACAGTAGAGACACTGTCCGACCCCTTGCCCAGATTTAGACCACATTCATGCAGAGAAGCCCTGCTAGGAAGTCCAGACTGCACTGACTTGCTGACCGGTTCCGTGTTCTGCGATTCGTTTCACTGACAGGACCATTGTCAGCCCCTTGGCATGGCTGATAGGTCCAACACCTGCTTGCAACAACTTTGACAACCTATCTGTATCCTGGACATCAAAGCTCCTACTCATCCCATATCACCTGTGTTCTCCGCCACTTGCTCGAAGCCACTTCCAGTTCGGACCTGCCTTGTGAGGGGATGTTGTGACAGTGGATAGACCTTTATGTAAATGTATAGCTGTTGGTCCCATCCCCAGGAATAGGCTATAAGCAGTCATCACCAGTCACCAGTCCGAGACATTTGGACCGACCTGGTCATACCAGGTATGACACCAAGCGACATAGACCTCGTGCGAGGGCACGTGCATGTACACCACGTGGTGCTGATGAGAGATGCAGCCAGTGCCCGCGTGAGTACAGCACCAGGACTTCTTGTCGGCAGACCATCCAACCCTCCAATTGGACAAGCCTGCTTTGCAGTCCTGGCAACCGTGTCTGGTGCTCAGAGGAGGGAAGAGGGAATAGAGCTGATGGATCTTGTGGCACGCTGATTAGTTGATCATGTCACATGGTAGCAATAGAAAACAAGTAAAGTATTCAGAAGGAAAGGTCTCAGGAGAGTGAAACTGGCTATAGCTCTGTGTCTTGTTGCTCCACAGCGGATCCCAACTGATCGGCAAATTCCAGATGTTTCCATCGGGCACGGGTGCCAACATGCATTTTGGAAGGCTGGATCAATAGGTGTCACAACCCATGTCCACCCCCCAAAAAAAAGACCCACGTCAAACCCAATATAACCACCCGTGAGGGGGTCCAAGAAAGGGAGGCCAAAATGACGAACAATAGCTATAGCTGTACCAGAACACAGCCGAAGAACAACTATAGAATCTAGAAGGTTCAAGCCAAAATGACAAAATAGCAGTCAAAATGCCGAACTCAGCGTAAGCGGCGTAGCTCGAGCTTCCACTGCCACAGCCACGCTGGAAGTGCTGGCAACACCAGGCCTCGTGCATTCGACATGCGTGAGTAAAACGAGACTAGCGCGGTTTGTGGAGCTCGGCAATCTTAGCTCATCATTTTAACGTTTCGTGGAACTTGGAGTGACAAAATGGTTTTGTGATCTGTCGGAATCAAACTAGTCAGAGGTTTAATATCATCTGCAATGCAAGTAACTCTACGGTCAACTGATGAACCTAAGCCAAGTCGAATTCAACTTTCCCCATGCCGTCGTCCACCCCGTGTGATCACGTCAACTCTCGGGAATCCTGGGCGGAATCCGGGCGCCCCGGTCGTGGAGATCCAATGGGTGTTCAAACGCCCAGCGAAGGACTCCCCTTCTTTTGGCACTCGGACCGCCTTCTTTGGGCGGGGTCGGTGTCACGCACAAAATCATGAAACCTTAGGGTCCAAATGAAAGCAAGTCTATTGCTTATTCTCAGGTTCCAGTATATTCCATGGTCACATCTCGCCTGTAGTTCACCTTGTTGAGCACCCAAAAAATCCGGTCGACCCCCCCGCAAGTCGGTCGCGGCCAAAACTCCATCTGGGTCCGCTTCGGCCACTTTGGGGTCCGAACTCTTCCGGACCGACACTTCACATTCTCCCTCGACCAACGAACCCATTCCGTGCCGGGACCCACCTTCTTGGCCGTGGACCAGCCCTCCTGGCGCGCTGGGTGGAACCATCCGGTCGTCGGAACCACGCCGGAAACGCAGGAGGTCCGTACCCTCCAACGAATGGGGAGGCTGAACAACACCGGAACATGCAATGTAATGACAGCTTCAACGGTCTGGCAGACGCGGAAGTTTGACGTGGTGGGGATCGGTGGGAATGCGGACGCCATGGAGCAGGTTGATGTTTCATGATGCTTCAAGTGATGCATAGAGGATGAATGGAGGATGGAGAATCATGGAGTGTAAGTTCTGCTCAAAGGTCTTGACGGTCTTGACCTCTTTCACTTTTGACTAACTGGGTTCCCTCTAACTTCCGGCTTCTGCTCATGTGTTTAGCTCCAAAAGAACACATGTAGTTTTTTAAAGACTCCGGACTCTTCCTCCCAGTTGCCCACCCCAGTTTTCTTGGTCCTTCCATTTCGCATACTCTGCATTACAGTCGTATGGCATCTTGGAGCAGCCCTTTTGAGCATGCCTGTGCACGACCGTCGGAGTTGGGGTGTTTGGCCACGCAGAAGGTGCCCGGAGTGAACGGTGTACGTGGACTATGTGGAGACAGCCAAAAGTAGTGAGAATTATTGCATTGTATTCACAAGTCCCTGCGGTTTAGTCACCCAGTTTTTGTGGAAGATTTACGACAAGACCAGAGGACTTCACCCCGGTACCAGCAACCTGGCACCCCGGTAGAAACAGCAGCACTACAAGTAGTAGGATGAGAAGTAATAGTGAATAGTGGGATGAGGATGATGTGGTGGTAGTAGCAGTAGTAGCAGCTGTTCCTGTTCTGGTGGTGGCGGTGATTTCTGTGAGCCCAAAAAAGGGAAACACCCCCCCAAAAAGGGGTCCTTCACTTGAGGCTCCAACCAAAGAGCAATCCCGAGAAGAACTTTGAGCTGCGACTTTTGCTGGGCACTTCCCAAAGAAAACATCAGGACATGTGTTGCAACATTGCAACCTCCGTGCGTCTTTGATAAGAACTGTGAAAACACCACACCACCTCCAAAATCCCACAAACAAACAGTGAACAAGCACTTTAGCCACAGCCCAATCGTATAGCATGAAAGATGCTCGCAACACCACGACTTCTTGTCATCCGACCAGCCAGCACGCCAGTTGGTGAATCCAGCATTGCAATCGTAATTCTCCTGGGATGTGTCAGGGCTCCAAAATCGACCCGCAAAATCGAGTTGAAGACCTCCCCGACCTTTGGCCTTTGGGTCAAAGTATCTATCCTCTTGCCGCCCTCCTCCAGCGATGGCGCAAACGTTCTATCGATAGTAAGTGGAAGCAAACCGGAAGAAAAGGGGGGCCGGGCGACTTGCAATGCACCCATCCACAATACTCTCGTCAAAACTCACTTCAACATAGCAAACACTTACTTTCCGACAGAAAGCAGCCTTGGACCATGTTGTGACTTACTGCCCATGAGCGGACATATGCTCCCTGGCGCCCATTGACAATCAACCTCATCCAACCTCCTCTTCAGCATCGGTTTTGTGCCAGTTTTGTGAGCATCATGAGCATCTTGCAGTCCCACAATTACGGATCTGTGTCTGTTTCTTTGGGGGCTGAAGGATGGAGGATGTCCGCCGGTGTCCGCCACGAACCGGGCAGAGGACGAACGAAGAAAGCGCGAGGTCTCCACACGTGGCAACCCACGTAGCTCGGTCGACCTCTCACGGCGAAGACTCTCCCCGGAACTCAGACAGAAGTGGAGTTCACCCAGCCCTGTTGTTGTGTTGAGGAGGAGTTCGTGGTCTTCCTTACGGGGCCAGGCCATCCATCGATGTTAGTTCGTTAGTTCCAGGGAGGGTAGGCGCTGCGCGGACGAGTCAGTCTGACACATCGGAGCTGCTTCGACCCCGAGGAGAAAACCAATGCAGCCGAAAGGTCCGCTGGAGCACAACCCAGTTTCCGGTGAGTGCAACACCAGGTCCTAAGTGCGTAGCTCAAGTGCCCGCAGCAGGGTCCGGTGGCTTTTCTGAGACATGCTCTCTCTCGGAGGAAAGCAAGACATTGTGTTACATCGTGTTACGAATGTTGGAAGTCGTTCCGTCGTTCCTTCCATGCAAATGTTCAGAAATCCATGGAACATCCGGTGCGACCTTCGACCCACAGGGCTGTCCTAGAGTGCCCATGGAGTTCTAGGACCGTGGTGGTAAAGGAGTACTGCGTGAGTTCCTGTGTTTACTCTAGGAAAGGGTTCCTTCTGGTTCATTCGATTGTTCATTCGAATTATGTCCCTTCCTTCGATTTTTGGTGCATTTGCCAGCATCTGCCACCACCCCAAAGGTGGTGCGCAAACCCACACCTATATGTATAATATACTGATATAGAAAAGCATAGCAACCCTGGCAACCCACTTCCCTTTCGATGTTCACTCCTACGGAGCTGCTCCTCGGGGAATCGTCCGGTCGTCGGAAAGGAGCGAGACAGTTGACCGAGAGATCGCCTCACACACCGGTAAATATGAAGGTATTTGGAATAGGTACAGTGTTACACCCAAGCAAAGGATGAAACATCTTTGAATGACCCACATGCATGCTGGCATGCTTCCTTTTTTCATGTACTCCTTCTTTCACTATGCAATCGCACTCACCTACCTCAAAAAAACTCAGAAGTTCCTTCGTGCGCCAGGCATCTTCTTTGCTGGTGTCCAAGCCTCACTCCACTGCGAATAACCCACTTGGCAATCCTGAGGGGCGAAGACCGGCAAAGGGGTGACACTGCCTTAAAGACCCCTTCTCCACCAAAGACTAGCCGATCAGATCAGCAGGTAATGTCCGGATCGACTAGGTCTAGGTCACTGTGTTCACCATGGCCATCTGGGAAGGCTTAACATAGGCATAAACAAAAAATCGCAGGCGGTGTGCGGAGAAAGAACCAAAACCGAGTGCCCTTCTGTTCCGCGGTAAGGAGAGGCCACTGCCTGCAGCGTGAGTCCTATAGAAGGCTTCTCAATGCTGGATCATCCAAGCATCGAAGAGAGGCTTGTGGATCCAGTGGTGTGGCTGGCAACCACGATGCTGCTTCTCGCAGCACCTCAGAGTACCGACGGTGATGAAGGTCTGAGGTGCTGTCTGACTCATGTCTGTTTGCTTGCTAGCCTATTCTGCATTTTGACAATTGCTTGGCTATCACACATCAAGAATCAGTTACTCTTTGGGAGACAAGACTTATCCTTTTCCACTGCCCTTCAAAAACAAGATCTTGCAAGATGCCCATTGCGTTTCCGTCGACTCATGTCGACTCAGTGAGTTTGGACCCTCAAGTCACCTCCGAATTGGTCCAAAGGGGACTGAGTCGTCCCCAGACCATCCGTGGAACAGGAGTCTGACCATCCGAGATGCGACATGAGATGTTATGAGGGTATGATTAGCTATGAGATGCTATGAGGAAACAGATTTACCCTCTTGCAGATTACCATGGACTCTGAACGATGAGAATCAGAATAGTCTTCGTAAACAAACGTCCATGTGAAATCGGTCCATGTTCGTCAGCTGCAAAGGGCACGGTCCATTGCACCACTTCGACGTGTGGAGTTCACAACCGGCAGTTCTGGCCGCTCTTCGCCATCGGTCCGCAGAAGTCATGGCGTGATCCGTGTCGAAAACGAAGGCATAAGCGGTCGGCGGTCGGCTTTTTGGGGGGGAACATCCGGATGGTTGAAACCGCCATGATGGGTCCTTCAGTGTCAGAAATATCTCAATTAGGTGTCACCTCTCAACTGTCATTCACTGTTAAAGCCATTCATTGTTAATCAACTGAGTCTGTATATAGATTTTACATGACTCCCAAAATCTTCAGATCTATTCATGGATTCGTTCCCCTTGGCAGTGCCAAGCTGCCAGGTCTTCTTTCCGGGTGTCCAAGTGCTTTGCCAGCTACTATAGCCTGCATGTGCTGCCGGAACCCTCGTGCGGTGGAGGCCCACCCAAGAAGGTTCACATAATATGTTCACATCATATCCCTGGGAGTCCAGTCATGACTCATTTTTTGCCCCAAAGGTGGTGGAGTCTGACTCCCACATGTGGAGTAAATGAGTCAATGGAAGTTCTGGGTATGATGAGCCATGTAGGGAGTCGAGGTTGTGACCCGTTTCCCACTACTTGTGGCTTGAGCAGCTCATCAGTCTCATCCCCGCAGCTCCGTCACGTCCCCACAGCTCCGTCGTACACGAACGCACCAAACGCTCGGATTTGGTTGGTGCTTGGAGCTTCCTTTGCACTGCAATGCGCTGTACTACAGCTGGATAATGTGTCTCAGCTGCGACATGTGAAAACCTCCAGGTACTACCCGTATATTTTTACTACTCTGTTTTCTAGCGAAGTGTGGCCCCCCAAGAACATCGCTACTCCCTTGCTATGCTTCTCCACCAGTGCATGCTTGTTCCATCGGTAACGGATCGTGGCCGAAAAAGCTGTCCACGGCTTGGACTGGAACATGAATGTCAGCATGTCATGGAGGTCCCCCTTCTTCTGTCCTTCAGCTTGGTAGGTCCTCCAAAAGGCTACTCAAGTGATCAGACGCTACTCGGTTCATCGACTCATCGATCGTGCGGACGTGTTCGTAGGGTGCGGACCCACCTGAGGAGCAATCGTAGGGTGAGGAAGCCGCCTCACACCCTTTGCTACGATGCTCGCAGCACCAGAACTTCTTCCCTTCCTGAGGCAACTTGCTGGGAAACGCGCCCGCCCTGAATTTCACGTGGGCAGTCGAACTTGTACAGGGTGTCTCGGACAGAAACCGTTTGCAGTGGTACGTTTCCATCCAAGTGCTTGGTCCCCGGCGCTGAAACCCTCGCGCTGGTCCCTCACAGCCGGATCGAATCGCGAAACCGCTTGGTAGGTCCTTGATTTTTACAGCGCAGTGCTCCTGGAAACTCCTGCAGATCTTCTGAAAGGTCCACCAGTGCGGAACCGGAGTTCCACCCTTTTGTTGTGGGAAAACGACAGGTGCACAAGAGGTTGAGTGAATTTCTATGGTGACACCAACTCAAAAAGAGATAAAAAGAGGCCTGCCTCCCTTATGGACTTATGGATGATGTGTCTTTTCTATTATATATCTGAGATCAAAAGATGTTGATTCTCTGCTACCTGGTCATCTCTGATGTGCGGTTGCGCACACGGCGATCTCTACGCCTCTAGCGCGGTTGCAGAGGTCGATCTCTTCTCCAGGCCACCGACCACTCGACGTGCCAATTGGACAAGCCCGCGTCACAGTCGTAGGGGTCATCCGAACATCCTCTCCTCGGCGCTTCAGCTGAAGGATGGCATCTGATTGGCCCGGTCGCAGTCCGGAACATTCAAAAGAGTCCCGCAAGAATTCCTGGTTTTTGTTTAGTAAGTAAAACTAAGGTGTTGTTCAGAAAAAACCTAACTACAAAAGACTAAAACTAAGGCGTTGTTTTGTAGTACTATGACTAAGGCATTTTTGTTGGTTTTGGATTGTCAGACTCTTAAATCCATTGGTGACTGGAATCCTACGGGCCTTGGCCATGGCACCACTACGGGCGCCTGCTGACCAATCCGCACTTCACTGTGCTTCGAAGGGAGGGGTGCACATGTCCAGTCATCCGTATCCGTCTTCCACACATCGTAGTTCAGAGTGGGTGCATCTCAATCTTTTGTGCCCAGAAGCTACTATACTGCCTGGGTTTGGGCAATGCAAAAGTGGTTGCCACTCCTTTGTGTGTCATGTTTTGTTGCCTCTTTCGTTGAAAACCTAAATCAGAGGGGTTCTAATTCACTTCAACAAACCCAAGCTCGCTCGCAAAAATCCTGGTGCAGCCTAGCTTCTTGAAATGGTCGCAACACCAGCCTTTCTTGGGCTCAGACCAGCCCGTCCTCGCAGCGTTCAGCCTATGGTTCGAATATGTTCGAATACTAGAATCTGGAACACTTGCAAGAATCATCAAAAATCAATACGTAGGTTTCATCGGACATTTGGGGTTTGAAATCTTCCAGATGTTGTCTGCATCAGAATCCTTCTACCCTCGTTTACCACTGAAGGCAAAGTTGGAAAAAACTCCTCATTTCCTCATGAATCGACCGGATCAGATCAGATCTCTCTGCTTTCCTCTCGGCATCGATGTTCGGAGCGCAAGTCAGTCAGCGCTGCCACTGGGGTCCTCCAATTGCTATACCCTGCATGACAGTCGTATGGCATGGAGGAAGGCGTCACAACTGGCACCGATGGCATGCCTTGAGCGGATCCGCGGGACGTAGCGACCGCCGCGAGGAACGCGTCGACAAGGAACCCTGCAGGATCCGTGGCCAAAAGCCTCGTGACATGGTCCAGCAGAAATTAAAATATATCCCGGCAAGAGACCCCAAACGGTCTAAAGGTCTACGGTCTGGAAGTGTGGAAGCAGAAGTTGAGATCTGGACGCATTGGGTTCCAGAGAGAGGTGATGGTTGTGGTGATGGTGGTGGTGGTGACGGTATTGGTGATGGTGGTGATGGTGGTGATGGTGGTTGTGGCGGTGGTGATGGTGGTGGTGGTGATGGAGAGAGCTGTCTAGAGATCTAGGGGTGGCCTAGAGAGCACACATATGAAAGGTAATGTAAAGCACCCACACACATGAAACCACAAATCTGCACTTCAAGGTCTACAAAGTACTGCGCCTGCCACGAAATCTGCACTTCAAGGTCCACAAAGTATTGCGGCCGCCACGCAATCTGCACCGCTTCGGCGGAGTTGTTTAAACCTGCGTCTACCGTCGTGTGGCCGCTCTGATTTTCAGCATGATGTTCCACCGTGAGAAGGGGTGTCTCGACTCTGGTGTTAAAAGACACATCAAATCCTGGAGTCCTGACAAACCCTCGACCTGCCAAACTTTTGAAAAAAAGAAGCATGAATACCCTGCCAAAGCTGAACGTCAAAGAACCCACTCCCTGGTCATTTTGTCCAGGCCACGCCTCCCTGGCCCCCCTCTTGCTTTTGGTGGAATCTGCAAAATCTACGGTAACGCCACATCATGTATCCACTGAAGGAGCAGCTCCAAAATCTGCGACCAAAGTGCATGCCACATGGTTGTGGCTGCAGCACCATGCCTGGCCGCCAAGCAATGCGCACTGCTAGGAGTGATGGTTCCTCTAGAATCCCACACCACCTGAGACGGTTTATTTACAGTATATACCACATCCCATGCAAAACACCGCAAATGTCAATGTTTTCAACACCTGTGCATTGACCTGTGCATTGAGTAAGGCATTTCCATGTAGAATGAAAGTGCCGATGGAAGTTCGGGATAACTATGGCCTTACAGGAAGGCTGTCCAATGAAAGGTATGTCAGCTGTGTCCTGAATTTGAGCTGTCGGGGTCTCCCATGTTGCACACATGTGACCTGTCTTTGGGATTTCAGCCTCTCACAAACCCTTCGTGCAGCACGAAATGCCTTGCACTACCTCAAATCTTCTCAGCCGCTAAGACTGCACGGGGCTTGGAGTAGTCTTCTGCTTCAGGCACCTGCTTCGACGAAGACCAGCCCTTCTTCCAATTGCTGGCTCCTCCGATATGGCTGTGGGCCAAAACCAGACCGACCGGTTGACCTACCTGGAAGGTCGCTCGCTCCAAGTATTGATCCAATGGCCCATCCCCATTTGACCCTCCACCCAGGAATTGACTTTCGGGAACCCCGCCCGCACGCCACGCATGTCCACGTCGATCTACGGCCCGGAAGTGGCACACGGATCGTTCCTTCCACCAGTCACCAGTCTCGGCGTCATTGTGCCAACTTCACTGCCAGCTTTTCTACTCAACATATCTCAACATGCTTTGTATTTGTGGACCACTGGGTCTTAGTTCAGGTTCATGCCTCCCCGGGCCTTGAACTGAGTGAATGCAGATCTTAGCAGTCCGGAGTCCAAAATGAAGAACATACTGTAACATAATGTAATGTAACATACTTGTTGTATACCAGCACCCTCTGTCACAGGTCACCAATTGAGACCCCTTTTTGGGGCCCTCTTCAACCCTCGTAATACGAGACCTGCTCGGCGCCGGGCGCTGGTAGGTGGTCTCATTGGAGTCCAGAGGGATGGAAAGGTCGATGTCCGCAGCGTGACGGTGCGCGCTACGCGACGCGAGAGAAGGCCGGTTCATCGGACAGGGTCCTGCTTCGCAGTCGTACGGAAGGGTCGGGGCATAGTGTGGGCAACCCACCTGCATGTGTCGGTCCGCTGCGCAGCTTGGGTACCCGGGTGACTTCTTATGACGTCTTCCATGGAAAAAAGAGGAAGCCATAGCCAGGTTGGTGGCCAGCAAAAATGTGTTTCTTTTCCTTGCCATGGTCATCCACGATGATGGTTTTGTCAGGTCGGTCATCGCCCGAAGCCCTCGGCCTGGTAGTTCTGACAGCACCAAAGCTTCTTGCCAATCGCCCAAGTCTCAATTTGCTGGGCGTGACAGTTGTAAGGCATGGACACCGGCAAGGGACACCCCCGGCCAACGTGCTTGCAGCAGAAGGCCTCAAAGGCCGGCTCGGCCGAGGCATTCTGGGTCTCAAAGGTCGGGCACCGTGCTTGCACCCAAAGGTGCGGAGGTCTCTGAAATGTATTTAAAAAAGGAAATGGATTATTGTCATGATGAGGTATGATTGGGTGGTGGGATTCCAATGTTACGCATGTGTTACTAGCCATTCACACGATTATCTCCCCGGGCTGGTCTCTTTTCCTTCTTCCAGGGGCTCTCCCTGTCAAACTGGTGCTCACCCCTCTCCCTGGTCGTCCACAAGCCGGGAGCGAACCGCAGTCGTTTCACCCCAAGAAAAAGACTCTAAACTGCAGGTGCACGGCTTGTCTGGAAGTAAGTGTGGCTAGAACTCTCGTCCTGTTCTCCCAGAGTACATGCATGAATTGTTGTTTTTTCCACCGCGTCGTTCACGCCAACTCCTTGCGGCCACAGCCAAACGCTCGCTGAGCGGCAGCTTTCCCCTTCGACCAGGACGAAATGCTACCACTCAAGCAGTCCGGGCCCGGTGGGGTGCTGGGCACCGGCGGCGGCGGCCGCGGAAGCGGCCGCGGAAGCGGCCGCTGCTCCGGGACGGGAGGTGGTTGTGGTGGACAGCCATATCTGCCGGTGTGAGCGCAGCAAAATGCCTTCTTCCTGGGTGTGGCGAGAGGTTTGGGTCTTGGTGGGAGTGTTGGCTATGACGGAATTCTGGAATTTTTGGGTGACACACATTCACGAGTCTCACACGATGTCAATGCTCTCAAGAAGGGCACGTAGTGGACTCTTGAAACTGGACACTGTTCACAAGAGATGAGATTCCCGTCTTGATTCCTGCTAAGAACTCAAGAGACGGACAAAAACTCAAGAGACGGACTCATCTTAACATGCCTTTTGGATGAAAAGGACCCATGCGGCCAACGGGAGATCGAACTTAGGATCTTCATTGAATAAATGTGTGCCAACAGCAACAGTATGGTGACCATCAAGATCTCAACCACCAAACAAAAACAAGCCAATGGCTATCCCAAACCACCGGTTTGATGGCACAGAACGAGTACTTCGCCCGCCCAAGGGTCGTCTCAGACCAAAGGTCCATCATGGCAATCTCCTGGACGTCGAGGGGAACAGGCTCCCGAGCGTCCGGTACGACGTCTCAGCGCGCGTTTCACGCTGACAGAACGGTCCGGACGCCATCGGACCGGAAGGATTGATGTCTAGGCTCGGTTTCCAGGATCACTATGGATCACTGATTCTATAAAGGGGAATGATTCAACGGGGATGATAGTAACTATAGTATCTATATAGTATCTATGTGGTTTAGTCAGAAATCCCTTGAACACCAAACCTTCCTATCTGGGTCTGGTACACCAACAACTGCTGGCGTGAAACACGCCACTGCGTGTTTCCGCTCAAAGGCTCAAGAAAAACGATCGAAACCAGCTCCACTGAGTCATGACTTGGTGCATGTTCGTATTTTCTTTGGCGCCGAAGTCCAACTGGCGACCATATCTCTCTCCAAAGCTGTGTGGAGGGACCGGGCTTAGCAGAAGCCATACCAACGACTCATCAAGCCTCAGACTCATGTGGATCATGTGTTCGAGCCCTTCGGGCGCTAGAATGTGTACCTTCAGCATCTCACCAACATGGCATGGGCTGCCACGGAAATGGGTTACGAATACTTTTTCGGACTGAGAACACTGGGTGCTGGTGGTTTGCAACCTTGACTCCCAGCTCTCCTTGGTACACTCCAGCAGTGGATCTGCTTGCTGCCGTCCTCGATCCGAGCAGTCTTGACATGGGTGTTAAACCAAAACCCGCCCAGGTGGACTCCCAAAAATATAAAAGGCTTGCAGCTCAAGCTACCATGGGGGCCATCAGGGGGTCATCTGGGGACCATCAGAGGGGACCATCAAGGGGCACCTGGGAAGGTTGTTGGGTGAAGATGAACTTGAAACATCTTAAAACTATGAAGATCATGAACTTAACCCTAGACCTTTCTCCAGGAGAGCTTGGAATATGTTGTAAGATTTGTAAGTCATGGTTTTTTTGGGGGGGGTCGTATTCAATGGACCTCCACGCGAGTAGTAGGACTGTGTTCAATGGTCATCTCATCTCGCTGTCCGTTCGTTCCCACCACAGTCACGCTCGTCTGTCGTGCCGGAACGAGTTGCGGGTGAACATGATGATCAGGAAGATCAGGAAACCTAGTCAACCCAGTCAGCTCACACTCCTCAAAGGATGGTCATTGCCAAATCATGCCAAATAGCTCCAAATCCAAAGCAAAACCGGTCATTGTAAAGAAACACGTCTCGATCAAAGCAAATTGAAAGTTTGAAACCATGTTGATGCACGAGAAGTGTGATCTGCTCAAACTGTTTCGATGGAGACTTTGGATTCCGTCCACCAACGCCCTGCCTGCGAGCAATCCGCAACAGCAAGCGCCGAAGCACCACCGGGGGCAAAATCTCCCACCAGTTGGTGGATATTGCGTTTCCTGAGCGTTAACTTGAAAAGTGTGACAAAAGCGGATCCAGTTGCATGTCTCAAAAAGACTTGCGGTAAAGAAGACACTGCAATGACATCCATATGGGTGTGTATCAAAATGGGAAGACTTCCCAGTTCGACCCCCTGGTTTCGCTTCGTTTCATCGACGCCATTGGATACACCCATCTACAGTGAGGAGGGTCACTCCGCGGCGTCACCCACAACTTGCTGGGGAGACACAGGGTCCCATCTTGGACTGACCTAACGATGTCCCCATCTTGGACTCATCCTCATGAGGCGAACAGTTCTGCTTCAACGATCTCAAGGCTTGAAGGCGTCCCCGATTAAGGCCGCGGAAGGCGGGTGGTCCTGTCGCGGGGGGCCATGGTCTCACATGTTTTCTCACTCCACATGAAGTATAGCGCGACTTGCGGTCCCAATCCGTCACGGCCTCGCTTAGGCAGTGAAATCCACATGAAGTATAGAGTCCATGCTTGAGGATGTTCGACGCTAGACTAACGCGGTTCTGATGTGGCACTGCGACAGCCCGTCCTGGAGTTTGTTCAAGTTTGGGGATGAGAGACACACTGCGAGTGTGTGGTGATGGATTTACTGCGACCAGGTTGAAAAGGGGACAGCCATGGTGTTGAACCAACCAGGTGACCAGACAATGGTGGAACAGACCACAGTGAATCAATGATGCCACAATGGCGTGGAACATGTGGTCTGTTGAACTTGTACACTGGCAACGACCAACCCACAGTGAAAAAATGGATATTCACATGCCCAGTGACCAGGCGCCGTTCAAAGCTCCCTGCACCTTGCCCCACAAAGGCCTAGGTGGCGGGTGAGGCACAATTTTGCTCAGACCGCAGAAGCCACTTTCATGATCTGTCTTAGAAATGGATGGCGGAAGAAGAGCCTAAATCGGTTTAAGAACAAAGAACTTCTTCAAAAACCGGAACATGCTCGGCTCACGGAAAAAAAGAGCCTGAGCATGTTGCCGTCGCGGGAGCCAGAAGAGCTCCTGGAAAAAGACCAACAAACAAGTTGTTGGAACGTGACGAACGTTTCGGCACCATCTGCGGCCGAGGGCGCAAAGTTCTCCACTTTTTCGTACGCGCCCCGTCCATCGCCCACCCACTTCCTTAGGTGGCTTGAAGGCAATCCAGGTTGAAGGGAACCGGAAAGTTACAGAATTCAGGCCCTGCGGCGATGGGTTTCCTCTATGGAGGGGTTGGGCCAATTTCCGCCTTGGGGAGTTCGAGTGTACCTGAGAATCCTTATCGTGGTTCTCGGCAGTTCCCAACCCCGAGAGTGCTTTTCACAAATTGACAAACTTTAGCGGTACCTTGACTGCAATGGAGGGGTTTACACATATGTGGCATGGGTGGTTCTCCTGGCTAACAGCGAGGTAGACCCGTGATCCCTTCCCTTCCCCGTGGCTTGCACACGTTGTTTTCTCAGTCGACGTCCTCGCCGTCCTCGCCCTCGCCCCCCTGTTCGGGCTCTTCACGCTCGGGGCGAGTGAGACACATCTCGCCACCGCGCACTACATGCTGCACCTTCGTCGTCACAGCCACACCTCTGGGGCACAACATCTTTTCTTCTATCTTGGTCAACCAACTTGTGCGGAATCCCTTGCTAACAAGCGCCTGGAACCTCAGGGCCAGCTTTGCCGGCGGCTCCAAATAGACTATGAGCGGATTCCCGGCATCATCCGTCATCTTGGAGGGAATCGCCCCAGCCTCGCTTATCTTTCCTGGCCGCTGTCCCGATGTCTAGAAATCCACAAGCGAATTTCCACGATGTCTAGAAAGCCACAGCTTTCAAGGGGTCTGGTTCCTGGGAGAATCATGTGCGGGACATATAAGCGCTTGTCAACACTTGTTTAGAAAGGTGTTCCGCACAAATTGGTTGACCAAGATCGAAGACAAAATGTTGTGTCCCAGAGGTGCCGCTGTCACGACGAAGGTGCAGCATGTTTCAAGGCCCCGAAACTGCGGCAAAGAGGGAGGTCCATGTCTCAAAGGTCAGGAGGTCCATGTGCGTGTGTGAGTCGACTTCGAAGAGGATGTCAAAAGTCTATGGCCAAAAGTCTCCAAAGGAAAACAAGAAGATATGACACTGCTCTTTGAGTCCTTGCTGGTTACACCTTGCACTAGTAACCGTGATCGGCTGGTAGGAGTCATGGCCTGCTGTGGCAGTAATTTAGACCCGCCGAATAAACTTGACTGGGGTGGGTCTTAATTCGGGATGTTTTTGTTCACCCTCCTTCGCGTGAATGCAGTGCGGGTTGGAATCTCGGTCCCGTGGCCATCATCTGCAATGATGCTACCAATCGTCACACTCTGGCTCAGGTCGATCTCTGCCCCGCGACGAAATCTCAGAGCATTTAGAAACAAAAGTCGAACCTGCATTCATGGGCCGGCATATCAACAAAATGGACAATGAGTGGCAAAACCTAAGAAGGGGGGGACCGAAAGCCAGCTGCCGCGAGGGAACGGGAAAATGGCGCAGTGTGGTGGCCTTCCACGCCTTCGCGCGCGCGGAAATGGTTTCTTCATAGTCGACGTTGCTGCGCGCGTGCGTGGAGGGCGCACGCATAAAAACTAAGGGGCCCCGATCGCAAACACGCTTCGTTAGCACCGCTTTTATGATCACAGAGCTCAAAAGCGTCTAGCGTTTTTCTAGCTGTTTTTGGTCCCAGAGCTCAAAAGTTTCTAGCGTTTTTGTAGTTTATATAAACACACTAGGTTCTTGGGGACAGAGGGTTCAACAGTTTCTAGCATCTTCCTAGCTTTTTGGATCCCAGAGTTCAAATGCTTCTAGCATTTTTCTAGCTCTTTTGGATCCCAGAGTTTAAATTTTTTTAGCATCTTTCTAGCTTGTTTGGATCCCAGAGCTCAAAAGGTTTCTAGCATCTTTCTAGCTTTCTTGGATCCCAAAGTTCAAAAGTTTCTACCATCTTTCTAGCTTTCTTGGATCCCAAAGTTCAAAAGTTTCTAGCATCTTTCTAGCTTTTGTGGATCACGGAGCTCAAAAGTTTGTAGCATCTGTCAAGCTTTTTTTGGATCACAGAGTTCAACAGCTTCTAGCATCTCTCTAGCTTTGTTGGATCCCAGAGTTCATGGGCTGCTAGCTCTATCAAACTTGTTTTGATCACAGAGTTCATCGACTGTAGTACATCCCAACCGCCCCAGTGTCCGCCACCACTTCAAAGTCCGAGCTGATGCCCAGGCCTGGCATCTTTCGGGACAAAGCCTTCTGATACACCGCACGGAGTCGCTTTGCCGCCGCTGATTCTACGACAGGGGGAAAGCGATCGCTATGGTTCAACAAATGAAACAGTCTCGTGGTCCGTGGTCATTGGGCACTTTACACAGCTGTCTGCTTCGCATTAAGTAGTCCAAGGAGTTCAGAGTCACCAAAGTAAACCTCAGCTCACACATAGACCGCAGACTCAGATGGTATGAAAACCACCCGTTTGTCCAAGCAGAAGGTTCAGGCTTTGTTGGGGTTTTTGCTGGGCTTGCCACATGAAAGTGCGAATAAAGGCAAAATGGAGGGTGTGTACGGAAAGGGTGTCAGCAAAAACTGCTTCTACGAAGTTAGTACCTTCCACGAAGCTCTGCGAAGGTTTCTGCTTTATTGTACGGTTTGTTTTCCTAAAGGTCAACCATTCCACGAATGGTCCGCGAATGGGGCCAGGTTCCACGACTGTCCCGAGCCTGCTACGAAGTTAGTAGAATAGGTTTTTGCAAAGCCCTGTCTGTGCACTACCCTTCCGCTTGTCCCTGAGTGAAGTTATTCAGCAGGCTTAGTCTGGTTTGCCACAGTCGGACAATAAAGCTGACGAAGGCGCATGTTGAATGGCCCACAAAATCGCAATGCAGTCCTTCAACCATTCGGTGAGCCCACGAAGCTCTTCCGGACATGGCTGGCTGAAGAACAAGAGGCATTGCTTTGCCTCCTCTATCTCCATCGGGTCCACGGTGCCAAAATGGCTGAGTTTCACTCAACAGGCTCAACAGGAACAACAGAACTTAGGGAGACATGGCTCACCTAAAGTGGTTCCAGAATAGTACCCACCAAAAAAGACAACAAAGACAGATTCCGACATGAGGATCTTCTTGTTTTAGGGCAGGGTCCCAAAACCTATGAAAGCACTCTAGCGCTTACAGAAGGCCCACAGTTTAGCCGCGAGCCCCGCTTATATAGTCTTAATTAATGGTGTTTGAGATGTTCCAGGTGGAATTCGTTCCACCCCCATGAAGACTCTTAGTTACGACGCCGCACGCCGTACGCCGCACCCCTCGTCACCGACCCACCGTGAACCAACCGACTCGGACGACCGAACGGACGACCGCTGCAAGCGGTGCCGGGGCTCCAGGTTTGCACCGTGCTCTTGCCCGTGGGCTCGAAGCAGACGGAACCTGGACAGACGGCGGAATGGGCTTTTTAGACAGAGGTCAGGACGGAGCGGAGCGAGGAAAATCTGAAGCCCTCTGAATCGGTTGGATTCGTTCATATTCGTTTCGTTCCCTGGGTGAAAAGGGTCAAGTTGGGTGAGAGAGAGAGAGAGTGTGTGTGTGTGTAGGTGTGTGGGTGTGTAACTTGTGTGCCACAAATACCAAAGGGTTCTGAAAAGTTCTGAACTCCTTCGGTTGTTGACTTCTTGCCCATTCGATGTCACAAGAAATCACATTGTACATCTTTGTACATCAGTTGAACCACCGGCAACTTGACTGTGTCTTTTACTTACCGCTACGGCCTTCATGCCCAGCCTTTACCTGTCTTCACCTCACAAAGCTCAAGCAATCCTGAGGTTTCTGACTCGTGCTTAGTAGAGAATAGGGGAATGCATCCCAAGGTATCTATAGTGGAGGGTCCAGGGTCACTCCTTCATTCCCTGCTAAGCACCTGGCAGGTTTTCTCGAGAAAAACGTAATCTTCCCTTCGACTGACATGCGATAAATCTGTGCACTCTTGGCACCCAAACACAGATGCAATTGCCTGGAAACCCAGTCCCAAATAACAGTTCTGCTTGTTCCAACATATGGCAATTGTTCGATTGTTCGATCCTTTACATACGAAGTTGCTGGGACTGTGGATAACATACAGAACTGTTTCTGCTGGGGACGGCCGAAACGCCCCGAGTTACGCGGCCTACGTCCTCGCACTCCTCCTGCGCTTCGCCTGGGTGAACGGCACATTGATCAAAGATGTGAGAATTCTTGAAAATATTGATCAAATCAAGAACGCTACCAGTAGCTATTTGCTCCTAGTAGTAATGCCCTTGTTACTAGTTACTACTATAAACGCGTTGAAAAATATTGCAAATAAATAGACATGTGATGACTGAACATGCATATTTACCGTTCCAGTTTCTTCCAGACTCTTCTCTTCATGTTTAGCTGCTAAAGTTTAGCTGCTAGCTGACGGTTTCCAGCGACTTGGCGTCCGGAAACTCGAAGGACTCTACGAGAGAAGGAGCTCGAGGTCTTTTCGTGGATGCGCAACAAGGACGGGCTTTCGCATCATGAACGCCGTCTGAAGAAAAACATAAAAATGAACGATAATGAACGCACATGTTGTGGGACTTCGTCTTGCAAAGAGCAGTTGCTTTGGCTGCTTTTGAGATGGCCAAAGCACAGCAGGGCACACAAGAGCCTTCGTCCAGGTCAAGAAACCCACAAACACTCTGCATACCTTGAAAAGGCTGTAGTCACACTTCCAAGGTGTGACAACATGGCCTCACATCCTCAACATGGTGCCCATGCTACTCCAAGTCTCACCATCACACTCTCAACCCTTGGAACTGTCGCACCGGTTGCAACCTCACATGCGATCCGATGTAAAAATCCACCCCCCCGAATGAATCTTCGGTCCTTCTTTGATCCTTTCCGCGCTTCGGGCGCTAGCGCCTCCATCGCCCACCCCATCTCCACCAGGCAGGGCTCCGTGGTCCCCATAGTGCTCCACGCGGCCCACGCGCGGAGCACCATGACCGATGTGGCCATGGCCGTGCACCAGGCCCATGGCCTCCGATGAGTCACCAGCAGTCTCATGTATAGACTCAGGAAGATGATATTTCACCCACCCCAATTGGATTGAAAAAACCTTTTCCTATTATTCTTGTTTTGGATTGTTTTGGGGTTTATGAATCAAGAGCCTACATAATTCTCACTCTTCCCAGGGATCTACCTCGAGGTCCTCCCTCTTCGTACACACAGCCAACTGACCAAGTTCGGCTGCTGTCTTCAAGCTGTCCTGGACCTGGACCTCTCTGAAAACACCCAGTGAACAAGGGGCCAACGCGAGCCAGGGGACAACTGTCTGTTAAGACAACTACTGCATGTGGATTGTCCGCTCTTGGGACGTCTTGAGGCCAGGTTTGAGAGACTAAGGACTAGGGGCCATGATCCAGTGCTCCTTCAAGGCCTTCAACCACCTGCAGTTGCTCACAAAAAGGCCAAGCATGTGCAAAACTACTTGCACATTTATGTGCAAATTTATGCAATATCCGGGTCACATAAATGCAAGCAATATATTTGTACATATGCCGCAGTCGTCCCCGCCAGTGTCTCCCAAGCCACACAGCGAACCACGCCAAACCACGCCTTGTCACCCAAGCGGTCGTCCGCTGGTGGCTGTTCGAGCCCAAAATCCGAAGCGGGCTCGTCTGAGGACCTGGGAGCCTCCACAGAGGCCCATGATTAGGAAAGAGAAACCCCGAAACATATAAGGAATCATAAGCATACCCTGCCATGAAGTCATTTCTGGGAAAACAACCTGCTTCCTCTTCCTAGCCGCTGGTGCTGCTCATCATGCATTCTTTCAATATGGTTCGATCAAACAAAAACGAGACGACGAAGGTTCTCTGGACGGCTCGCAGAGCCTCATTGCTGCAGAGCTTCGTCAATCCTTCTCGCCTTCACCCAACATCGCTGCGGGCTGACGCTGCACATCAACACCACCCGTCACCACATCAACCCACCCGGAAAACCGGCGACGGTTGGGATACCGGCAGCGCTCTACTGTTGGGATACCAGGACCATCCAATGGGTGTCCTGGCTGGACTACCCCATACTACTTAGGAATCTCCATTGGACACCCATTGGAAGGTCCAAGTATTCCACAAATGCGCTTGCTTTGGGGATTGGAACCTTTCCACCCTTTGGTTCCTTGTCCACTGGCTCTTGTTCCGTCCCCACCGCTTGACAGCAACCCAGGCATCCCCACGTCAATCATTACGGTACTCACATAGAAGGTGATGATGCGCTGCTCCACGGACATCCTTGGTACTTGGTAGGGCACGGTCCGGGTCCAATTCTGGGGGGGGCTTTTCGGCGACCCGAAAAAGACGAGCCTTCACTGTGTTGGTTCCATCTGGCCGGCCCCTCTCTCTCTCTCTCTCTGGTGAATGCAAAAGGAGATGCAAAAAACTTAAACAGGGCAACCCATTGGGCAGGAGACCATTAATACTCATTAATCAATCGAGAGACTACAGTAAATGTTTTCAAGCCCCAAGTCCGCTATTTTGAGATGACCATGTGATACCATGTGTATGTCAACGGCCAAAGACGAAAATTGGCTAAACATGGCTGAACTGCCTGAGTTGCAGACTGAGCAACTCTGATCCGTGACTGGAGTGGATTTCGCTACTCAACCACCAACCATAAGTCAGAGATTCAATTTCCAGGCTTAGGTAGTACAATGCTTGGTTGCGTCTACAAGAACTGCGGCGTGGAAGAGGGGGCAAAAAGGATGCAAAAGGCAGGAAGGATGTGTGCTTTTGATGATCAAGTATAGTTAGTTCATGTCCACCCTCAGTGTTGATCACCCGCGATACTTTGCAATAGATTCTTGGGAGTCCCTGACGGAAATCGCCTCCTTCCCTTCCATTCATGTGTAAAGATCTATGCATCTTAGATCATCTCAGCCCATTTCTACTCATATTTGTCCACAAAAACTTATAGGGATCAACTGCGTGCCTGTCTGCCCGAAGTAAAGGTCACCTGTTGGATCCTCTCAGTACACCATCCATGTGTTCGAAGACGCCCCGCCCCGCGGGCAACGATGCCCGCGCGACCCGGCGAACACCTCGGCGCGGCTAGGGTGCTGTTTGTCTCCGTGACGACTTTTGGCAGGGATCATAATGCAGAAACCTGCCACGCTCCCAGAAGGTCTATGATTCTCCCAAGATTGAACGATAAAACACCTGAGTGTTGGTCATTATATAATGCTAACCATTGCATCCTCTTCATGCTGTAAAAAAAGGCACCTTCAAAACTCACCAACAGTCCACCAAAACACGCGTGATGCGCATGCCAACTGTGCAAGTAGAACTCCTTTTTTAAACAGACCATGCACAGCATCGCTTCCTATTCCTGGCGCTCCAAGCGCTTCCAAGCGAGCAAGTGGGCGCCATCTTCGACGACCTGGCCACGAGCGAGCAAGTGGGGCAGACGTCTTGGGCGCCGCGAGGACGTCTCGGTCCCAGCGTGGGGGGGCAGGAAGGCAGTATCGAGGAGGGTCACTGGTGGTCAATCACGTGTTGAAGAGGAGAACTGCTCATCTTCCAGTAGAAATCCCATGTTTTGCTGTTCCACAAATGGAAACCTGTCGGACTATCCAACTTTGGGGTCGCAAAACGACCGTGTCAGCTGTTTGAGTGTGTACATGGCACACTGGCACCGCCAGGTGCCAAACTGCAAGGCCTCCTGGAAGCGTCATGTTCTCTGTCGGACTCGCAAATCTGGCATGCAAAGGGGAGAAGTATTACACACCCATGCAATCCTCCTGGAAACCCAGTCTGCACCAGAAACAACCACGTGCTATGTCAATATAAAGGACCTCAATGGCCACATTGGAACATCTTTTTGTTGCTGGCTGTTTGTGATTCCAAGCTATGCTTCATCCTACTTCCCTCACTGAAAAAGAGACAACCACGGGTGGTCTTGGACTGTTTGAAAACATGAC